AAAACATATTGATAGCGTAATTGTTATAATCTCGAATATATTCTATCCCGTTATTTTGTGATTATGACAACCTGCTCCCAAAACGGACCACCGTAAGCGTATAGAAAGAAAAGTAGTATTGTACTGAAAGGGAATCCGTATGTTTACAGCCCTACTTTTGTATTCAGATAACTTTTTCAAATTGAATCAGAATGATATTATGTAATGTTTAAACGATCTTCAATGCAATTATATATGAGCCTATTAAAATGAATTCTTTTCTTAACTTACAAAATAGTTTCTCCAGCTTTGTTTATTCTTAAGTGACAAACTTGGTAAGCCAATTTTATTGCCTAGGTTAAACATACGCCAGTTAAAAAAAAGAACCTCTTCTAAACTGCCATTTATCTTTTTATAAAAATAGAGTAAAAATGGAAAAAAAGATTGACAGAAATATATCTTTTTTATAATTTTCTATCAGACTTTAGCAGTTTAATATAAGAAAATTGATATCAAAAAAAGGCTACTCCTTTTAATTAGTCATGTTACTCTAGAGAACGGATTAAATTGTCTCTAAAAGAGTTATAAAGAAAATATGTAAAGATGGGTGTAGAAAAGAAAAGAACCAGAAAAGGGAAAAGGCTTTTACTTATTGTTTTTAACAAGATATCAATTACTTAGTAATTTGATAAACTTTCGCTTCTTGCTAAAATTGTAATGGCTGAATTATTGTTGCTACAATGAATATCAGACAGTCAAACATAATGATACGACTCACTTGTAAAATTAGAATTATAAGTTTATAATATAAGAGATAAGGTCTTTATATAGAATCACATAACTGGAAAATATTTAATTCTTAGTCTAATTGATTATAAAACTATAAACTATTATATGCTTATATAATTTTTATAATCTAATATTAATGGTAACTAATATATTTTAATTGACTTCAGTCATTTTTATAATACTATAGCATTTTCCTATCGTCCTGCTGTACAATTTAAATTTTATCTATTATGAAATTTAGTAGCTTAAAAGTTTTTGCCTCTCGACCAGCGTGTAAAATGTTTATACATATTCATGATATAAAGCAATAAGAAATCCTTCAAAAGCTCTAAACATTTGGCTAGAAAACCAGACCGGAAAAATTTCCAACTGCAAAAAAAAAAAAGAAAAGAAAAAATAGTTAATCGTTCTGAGTTAAATTGCTGTATAATTTTACAAGCGCATTATATGCTCATTTTTTTTTTTGCTTAAGATAGAGGAGCTTTTGTTAAAAATGTTGCTGTCGTTTTACAGTTGGGTAGCAACATTAGATGAATATAATAAGGCTTATTATGTCTTTCTTTCAAGACTTGTTGTCGCTTTTCGTAAACTTAGACGCCAGGTTTCTAGGTCTCTTTTTGGTAAATTATGTGCTAATGGGATATATCCTTTTTGTACATTTCTTCAAAGTTTTAACAATACCATTTAAGATTAGGTTTTTTAATCAGCCTATCGTTTTTGTTAGAGCAGAAAATATATATTTATATTATGGCCTACGTGTTTGCGATATTTATCATTTTCTTTGTATCATACTCATGTTTATATTTAACAATGAAGTTACATATGATGGACTTTTAAAACTCCCTGAACTATTAATAGGCTAATTTCAAGTATACAATGATATAAAATACCACCATTGTAAACGCAACCTAAGGGTAGCCAGCGGCTACCGTTAAAAGTACGAAAATATATAGACAGACAACATTATCACAATTTATTACACTGTGAAAGTGTTGTAAAATTGTAGATAATACTTCTTAACTCCTTTTATATTACGAATCATCAAAAACTCTGCATATTAAGAAGATTGTAAGTTTAAATTGTTTTCAATTATTACTAAGAAAAATAATATTTCAATTACATTTATATGTTTAAAGTATGTACTAATACTATACATAGTATTGGTTTCATACTCTGTCTATAGTATATACTTAATCTTTTAGGAAACGGAACGAAAACATTTTGAGATAATTATAAGTTTATAAAATATGTATAAGATTGTATAATGTCATCCGCTTTAATATGGATATTACAGTTGAGTTAATGAAGATATTCTTGTAAATTTTTTGTTGTACATAATTCCAATAGATATTAGTAGTAGACACGTGCTTAAAATCTCTTCACAATACAAACGAATTGTAATTGTTTACAAATCTTATATACAATTACATCAGATGATGTAACCAATTCATAAATAGATTATTAATTGTCTGCTATTCTTTTTCATCATGAGAATACGTTAAGATAGTTTAGTGAAATTCTTTTATTTTCTTTTAGGATTGATCTAATGACAGAGCAAAAAAAAAAATTATTAGTATTTTATGTATCAGAGCAAACAGATAACAAGGTTTGCACATCACATTCTGTATAAAGGATCATAAATTTTTTTTATTTAAATTAACGTTTTTTCATAATCAATTTACTATATAGGACTAAATATGTAATTTATTACTGCCATTTATCACGAAAGTAAAAGAGCAGACGGAAGGGAAAAATTTGATGTAGAAAATTTAAGAAATACTCAAAATTAATAAAAAAAATGTAGCTGATATGACAGAGCCGCTTAAAGTATACGCTTCCTATACAATAGTAATTAATATTTTACAGCTTAACGGTTTTCTTTGTTTCAATAGAATTTCCGGACTTTGGAGTAACTTACACTGCGATAATTTTTTATACTCTATGTGTTTAAAAGGCCTATTTTCTATATAGACATTAATTTCCTTATGTTTCCCCTTTCTAATGTGTCAGATCGTTTACTTTCTCAATTTATTTTCTTGATTATTACACTTGAAGAATAAGTTTTGATAGTTCAATGCCATACAATAGGCCTAATTAATAAAGTAAATGAACTAAAAGTAATATGTTGCACTTGAATTTTATGATTGTATTAGAAATATAATACTGATGTAAAAATTTAGTATTTAAACAGAGGTTCTCTCTCTCTCTCTCCCTCTCTCCGTTAGCCATTCATAAAAGATAATAGATCTTCCTAATATAAACAAAATGAAAAGTGTTGAAATTATTTCTCTTAAAAAGTTGATTATGCAGTTACAGAAAAGATTTTGAACGGTTGACCAACTGTAAAAAAGGCTTTTATTCTTTGACAAAAAGAAAAATCTAAGATAACATCATTTACCAGCTTCGCTTTTATAGAATACTGATTTTTGGCAAATGTCCAACTATAACTCCGCATTGAAATTTCCTTCAATTCTAGTTTGCGGAATCGATCTTTTGCTTTTCTGAACTTTTCGTTCACTTTTTTTAACGCCACCACCATATTCTCTTTTCTTTTCCTTTCCCGTAGTATTGTCTTGTTGTACTTGTATTTGGCTATATACTCAATTAGACTTGTAAATAATGATTTTTAATGCCCTTAAAAAATATAAATGATTATTCATTTTTCGTTTTCCAGCTATAAAGAATTTAATATATTTTCTCTAAAACAAAAAACAAAAAAAGATATTCGCTATCGCAGTGTAAGTAAAGTATGTAAAAATCTTCCACTTGTGTTCTTTATGTCAGTCTGTTCCATAAGACTAAGGTTTTTCATCGCTGTATAAACAGGTTTACTTTTTACTCTGATCAGAACCAGAGGGCATTTGTAGCAGAATGAATTAATCCATGGATTATCGCAGATTAGATTTAGTTCTTTTTTTTCCAGTGGCCTAAACTACGTCTGATTCGAATCAAACTAGGCATCTGATAAGCCTATAATTTTTGTGAAGAGAATTGTATTGTCGATTTTAAATTGCATTTTCTGCCATTTTCAATGGTAAACTTTGACAAAAATATACTCTCGCATGAGTTGTCACATACTTGCTACATACTGCGATGGTAGGGGGTGGTGGAGGGAGGTGAACACAAGAAAAAAAGAAAACGAAAGATATAAAGAATGAGTAGGAACGAAAGCACAATTCTAAAGGGCACCTTTTATTCAAAAGAAGAAAATACCCACAAAATTAACTGAAAGTATGCACAGATCGGAAGTAAAAATTTATCCTTTATTACATCAAGTTTATATGACTGTCATATTTTACCATAATGATCTTTTTTAAGTTGATTTTTAAACGTCAAAATCAATGTTTAATAATGTTGAAAATTAAGAATCAAATATCAAAGGCAAGTAGAAAAACAGATAAATTCTTTTTTAATAAAAGTCTTAGTTTATAAAAAGAAATAAAAAAAAAAAGTGGCAGAAAGTATCCTTGGAATTTTACGCCTAGCTACATCGTTCATTCATATGAGAAAGTTGCTTCGACTGATTAGAGCACTACTTTTTTATTTGATGGAAAAATTTGTATTTAGTAAACGTTTTCGACCGAAAAACACGTCGTTTCGCATGACATTTCCCGGCATTTGGTATTATAATAAAAATATTTCCAATTCAACAAATACCCGCCATTATTTAATCAATTAATTATATTTACTATATATTTATGGAATATGGCCACTTGACAGTTTTTTCGCTGTTCAACTAGATTAGTTCAGGTTATTTGTGCATATGCCTTTTATTAAAAACAAGTTCTTCTTTTGCATTAATATTTTATAAATATATAATTCAATTTTATTAATAGATTTTTATAGGCAATTCAAAAATTCAAGAGAAACCTATATGTTTGGTAGAAAATGAATTTTTTTATAAAAAAATAACTTTTAAGCCTTTAATAGAAATATGCAAAAATAGCTTTGTAACAATATAAAATTTAAACTATTGAATACGACAAAGAATATTCTTTAGAGTGACTTCACTCTTTCTAATATGATCTCTGTCTTTTTTTTATTTTTATTATTTCAATAGTTGCGATTGTTGCTTTTATTACATCGATTTCATAGTTGGTCTATGGCAGTTTTCATTCAAACTTCACTATTATAAAAGTGTTTTAAGTTTTCTATACTATTTCTATAAGCAAAGAGATGAGAATTGAAAAAGACTTTTAAAAGGAAGTCCATTAATGACTGATTTAAATAACATAGATTTACTTTTCGTTTTTCTTATACGAATGAATCATTTTCTCCCTATAAATTTTATTTTTTAGTAACCTATTTTGTTCTTAGAATCAATCGTAATAATTGATAAGAGAAGGTCAGCGATTCTCCAATCTGTAAAATGAGTTTTATAGCCTTGGGGAGGAAATGTATGACTAGATACAAAAAATTAGTATTAATAGTGAATAATTAACAGTTTTATAGAGTTTAGTAGTCCATTTTTCTTGTTTCGTAGACCCAAATAAGCCTACTAATTCTAAATATATATCTATCTTATTTTTTGTTTTAGTATAGATCCAAAAGTGTTTATTGCCATTTTGTCAATTATAATAAACTTTTCTGCCTATCCTTACTGTCAGTACTTAATGAATAGAAGGGAATGTAAAGCATTTGATTATCCCTAAAAAGACACAGTACAAGGAATGATTGTAATTAAGCAAACATGTCTTTTTGATCACGTGATGGACCTGAAAGTCAAAATACACTATGTACTTATTGCTGTTTATTCTACACCAATACCATTTGCATAGTACAGCGTCTCTCTGTCTCTATTCTATTTGTTTTTCTACCTATAGATTTTGACTTTGACCTTGAAAAAAAAACTTAATATTTTTTTCTACCCAATAGAATTGCCTTGAAATGGAGAGATATTTGAAGAATGAACCTCGTTTAACCTCTTATCGCCGTCTTGATTCGGTAGATTCTGAATTTGATCTGGCATGGGAACAATTTATGCAAGAAGCCTCTACACCAGTAACAGATCTAGAACTACTTGATGACATTGGAGCGCTTTCAACATCTCAAACACCCTCATCAGAAAATTCGTCGCCTTCGTCCTGTAGTCAGGAGAGAGCGGTTGAAAAGCTAGCAAAATTAAATATCGACGACTCTTATTCCGTTTATAGCTGTTCGTCGTATAGCTCGTCGTCAAGTGCTGTTTCGTGGGATTCACAAGCTAGTGATAGGAAACGACCTCAAATACCAGAAACTCCTGTACCCGACTATCCAGGTGCACCGGGTACAACTCCTTCTGAAAAACTACCGGGTTTTTCATTTTTTTCCAAGAATGCCAATAAGATGCATGATATTCAAAGGCCAGTAACTGCTCCACAAAGTAGTGTACAACCCAAAAGTCCAGGAAAAAGAGATTGTGATAGAGTACAGGACGATCAAGCAGTTGAGAGCAAACGTAGAACACATAGATGCGGATTTCAGGGTTGTACTAAAGTCTATACGAAAAGTTCGCACTTGAAAGCTCATTTAAGGACACATACCGGTATGTTGCTGTATCTTTAATTAAATGTATCATACCTATTCTGTTGTCTATAAAAATCTAACAATAGGTATACAATTCAAGTATTTGAAAGGATAAAATATTTTAAAAGAAAATAGTTTTCAAAGGGGATAGATTAAGTATTTTTGATCCATTATTCCTAGAGCATTATTTTGAAAGATCATGTTACTATAACTTGTTTTAGAAAAATAGTTATAATCCTAGCCACATACTCTGGAAAATTTACATATTAGTTCTGGTAAATTTTATAGAAATATATAGTCTTTTCCCCGTTCTTTTTTACTTGAGAATATTAGTGATCTAAATAATAAAATCTCTCTTCTATCATTATTATTTATAGGAATTACTTTGTAAAATGTTATTCAACTTTTAAAGAAACGGGTAATAAATTTCAATCTTACTAAATAGCTACCAAGAAAAAGATATATAGATACCAGATGGCAGAACAAACACTCATTTATCAAGTATTTACTGTATAGGAATTCGCCTTAATGCTTTGCCAAAAAATTTCCAAGAATATAAGCAATTTTTTACCGAATTATACAAAGCAAAGGAGAATATAGAAAGGTGAAGGGCATTCACTTCTTTCATATTAAAAATCAAAAGGTATTTTTAAAAATAACTTTGATTAAAAAATAAACGTTGTTTTGAAATGGTAATGTTAATTAACAAAAAAAGAAGATAGGAGTTAAATTAAAGGTATAAAAGATATTTTTTAAGGGAAATTGATATTATTGATATTACACTGATTCTATGATACACACGACTAAGCTGTTTTTTAATCTCAAGAATGAAGTTTTCCATTTTCTTCAATGTACTTGAAGTAGTTAACTATTTATATTTTTTGTCTTTTGTAGTTTCTTTTTTTTAAAAAAAAAAAAGAAATATACAATTTTGTAAATAAATATATTTATTAATTTCTTCTATCTATTTACATATGATTCTTATATAAAGTATTTCCAAACAACCATTATTTAATGTACATTTGCTATAGTTTTAAGACTAAACAAATATTTTTTATCATTAAAATGAACGCTTAATTTCGTTTTAAGACAATACTGATAAGCATCTTAAATTTCATATTAAAATATTTTTTAATATACCCTTTCAAATGACTACAATTTTCATAATGAAAATAATGTTGCGAAGGTTTATGATTTCGTTTGTCTGAATCGTGACTATCAGCTTAAATGAAATACTCTCAGAGAGATATCAATTGTTGAATATATATATATATATATATATATTATATATATACATATTGGTAGATTAAAAATATACTGTATGTATAATACTTTCCATTTGTTCATACAGGCGAAAAACCATATAAATGTACGTGGGAAGGCTGCGAATGGCGTTTCGCTCGTTCAGACGAATTAACCAGGCATTATCGCAAACATACAGGAGCAAAACCTTTCCAGTGTAAGATCTGTGATCGTTGTTTTTCAAGATCAGATCATTTGGCTCTTCACATGAAAAGACATCCAGCCAATCAAGTTCCACACTCTAACCCTGCTAGTAGTTGATATAACAAAATGATGCTAAACTGTGAAAGCGTAAAAAAGTAGTTGAGAGGCAATTTTATCTTTTTTAAATTTATTTCATTAGTTATTTGAGAATAAGAAGAGTATTAGAGGTCTGAAATCTCTCCCAAATCAATGAGTGGCAATTTTACAAGTCATTCTCCCACTCACTCTCTCCCACACTCTCTCTCCCACTCTCTCTCTCTCTCTCTCTCTCTCTCTTTCTCTCTCTCTCTCTCTGACTCTGTCTTTCTTTCTCTCTGTCTAAAAAAAAATTAAAAACGTTTAATTCTAGACAAAGAGAATTCTCTTACTCTTATACTTTTTCCCCGCTGTCTTTTTTTTATTCATACTATATTTTTCTCCTATATCTCTTCTACCTCAATACCTAGCTTAGAATTATACAAAGTATAGTTACAATGATGAATTAATCTAGTGAAAAATTTACAATTTTCGAAATCATTTACAAATAAGAATTCAATGAAATCTGAATATATAGTATTCAATGAATTTAAGCGCTCTAATCAAAATTTTTATTTAATGAAAGGCAAAGAGAAAATTAGTGAAATAGGTATAGAATAATTACATCTATATACTGCATATGTGTGAGCACGTGTCATAAATAGAGAGACAGAGAGACAGAGAGAGGGGAAGAGAGGAGTCGAGAGAAGAACCTTTTGTATATATATACAGTATATACCTAAAGTACTTCGAAAGTGAATTCTAGTACCATTTAATCCTCAAACATAAGAAGGAAAATAATATAATTGTTCTTTTCATAAATGCAAAGAATGTTCCATTGTCATAAGAATTACGATAAACAGTACATGAAGAATTTATAAAAATAGAGAAAGACATTTCTTAATAATGTATTAAAAAGATATTACATTAAGTAGCTTTTTCTTTGTTTTAAAAGAAAAACAATAATGATTTAAATAAAAAAAAAGGAAAATGAGACCTTAAAATCTATATTCAAGTGGTACACGAAACTTTACCAATAAGGCTTGGTTTCATATTTTTTACTCTTAAAAAGTATTTAATATTATTAAAATGAATGATAGAAAAGAAATGATAAAATTTCCTCTCAATTCTACATAGATATTGTTTTTTTTTTATACATTCCCAATTATTTTGTATATATTAATTAATCGTGCCTTGATACAGTCTGTAGGCCAATACGTAATCGGGATCAGTTTGAATGGTGCTGTATTAAAATATATATGCGAGGACCCAATAATATAATTGTATAAAGCATGTTAATGACTACCTCGTTTCTCTTTTAAATAATTTTTCTTTCGCGAAATAGGCTTAATTTTCGATAAAAAAGATGCAATTAGGCACCTATGTAACACACGAAAATGACTGGGTGTGGCTGGCAACTACCTGAAATAAGTTCATCTACCTGCATCAGGTGCATTTTCGTGTGTTTGCATACAGCCTAACGCCATATTTTGTCAATTGATGTAAAACAAACGATGCGTCTACCGATTGTCACGATTTTTGCGGTCGTGACTGGAAAAATTGAGTCTATACGCGGGATTGTGCAATATACATAAATTCTTAAAGCATGACGTCTGATCAGGACTGAATAATTTGTACTGTAATTTTTTTTTTGTTTTTTTTTTCCATTTTTTTATCTGGCAGGCCATGTTTGAATGTTTTTTGCAATACTTTTCAAAGACTTTAATTGATTGATAGACTTGTGTACAGTGTATGCTTTTTTTTTCTCTATTGAGATTACGAATTCTTTCACTGCATATATGTTTTAGTTTTTTCTTTTCTGCTCTGTAAAAGAAAGAATTTTAATGTATACATATATATATATATATATACAGTATATACACAGTATATATATATATATATAAATTGTACGAAAATTTTTTTTTTGTTTTGTTTTTCGTTATTTGTCTTACGGAAATCATTCCTTTACAAAATTTTAACTGTGCCGTGTCTCTCTTTCAGTAAAAAAAAATTCTTTTTTTATTAGGTTTTTCTCATTAATCGAAAAAATATTCATAAAAAATATGTAAGTATATACATATACTTATATATATATATATATATATGTATATGTATATGTATATATGTATAAATGCATGTAAAATGTATAATATTCTTTTGAAAAATCTAATGAATCTACTAAACCCAAAAAAAAGAAAAAAACAATTATTACTTTAGTTATATTAATATATTCAAGAGAAAAGTTTGAAAATAAAGAGTTATTTTTTATTAAGCTTCTTCTTCCAAACTGTCATAGCAGATTAGCTTACTTTTAAAAAGTAATAAGTCAATTTGTCATACAACTAGTACATGGCATATCGAATAGCATTCAAGTACAGAAGTTAATTAACAATCAACAATTTTTAAAATAGAATTACAGTCGCCAAATATCGATTTTAATGTTTTGAAACAGCTTTTCATGTATAAGTTTGTGTAGAAAATATCAAGAAAACATTTAAATATAACACAAGATGAGCAAGCATAAAAAAAAGAAATAAAAGTTCAACAATTATTGATAGGATAGTTTTGAATTACAACTTTCTAATTCACACCATTCGTGCTGAGTATGTACTTGATTATAAGAAAATGCAAGCTATCAAATTTATACTTTTCTAATATTTCCGCTTGAGACAGTGCCTTATATTCTTGATGATAACATTATAAAGAATAAATGATAGTGAAGCCAATAGATGTTTAAGAGTAATCTATATATCATTAATACAGCAAACGAAACAACTCATTAAAAGTCATTTTCAAAGTTTAGAGAATGTTCATATATTAAGAAATGTATATATTTGATACACAGCCACAATACATACATACTTTAATATATGAAAAATAAAAGTTTGTCCATAAAAACACATCACAGATCATTTTTATATATTTAAGGTTTTTTTTATTAAAAAAAAAGAAGTATAAAATATATTCGCAATTAAAAATACATTTTTCATGATTAGCGCTCTCTCGGATTATATGTACGAGTCTGTTGATATTCCATTATCTGTAGTTTGTACATTTAATGTTATATTCACTGTTTCATTTCGTGTTTCTTCATTTCCCTTGTTTTCAAAAAATATCCTTGCAGTTTCCGTATGATCGATTTCCGGTGGTAATTCCAGACGTTCTTCCGGATTTAACCTATTTTCCTGTTATTTATGAATGAATAAAGAGATAGTCTAAATAGAACAATAGGGTATAAGGCAGATGCTTATGAACGAATAAGCTCTGTTATATAACTGACCAGTCATTTATCTACATAGAAATCTTCGCGAATTGAATGGTAACGATTACAACATTTAAAATACAATAGAATAACGGTAACCTTACAATAGTAACTTATTATTGAACACCTAAAAAAAGACATATAACTGTTCAAATTAGTTCTTGGATCAAGTGCCATTAGACCGAAAAATTGAATTCAGTTACAAGTATATAATGAATGGGATCACCATCGTCCAATTAAAACGTTTGTTAAAACTATAGGAAAATCCTTAAAAAGTACTCTATTTAATTCATTCTTTATCTAAAATCTTTATCAAATTTTCAGCAAACGGGATTTGAATACCTTTTTTTGAGCTGCTGTGTGCGAAAAGCCAACAGACCCGTTTTAAGTTAGCCATTAATCATCTATTATGACTATAGGCCCAATACAATAAACTTGAACTTTGTATGATCCCTATTCAATTTGAAAAAGCGTATATCCTATTATTTTCGGATTTTTCTTTTAGTTATTTTATTATTTTAGATATTTCTTTTTTAGAAACTGTAACGAGTAACTTAGTTATAAAAGCGATGAGACCTTTATAAATTTATCATTCTACCTACCATCAGCCTATATTCCAACAACGCACACACAAAAAAAGCGCATTTCTCTTAAGGAGATTATGCTCTTTAGATATTTTTCAATTTCCAATTAAACTAGACTTTTATATAATAAGAAATTATATATAAATATAATTAGACGTAAATATTGTTCGTTTAAGAAGGCGAAATTTCTAAAAAGAAAGAAAAAGAGAAAGACAACTTTCATGAATCGTGTTTAATGTTGCTGATCGTCAAAAGATAACTTGATCATTCGAATGAATATTTGAAATATACACCATCAAGGTTACATAACACTAGGAAATCGGTACAGGCAGTGCTTTTCTTTCTAACTATTTCTATTATTATCTGAGTTATGTAGAGAAAATTTCTCATCTTCTAGCATACACACACACACTCTCTCTCTCTCTCTCTCTTTAGCATTCCCCCTCTTCTGGTATTCTTAACCTTTCTTCCTATAATTGCAGTATTAGTACTATCTTAGTTTACATATATATATATGTATAATCTTTAATGTTTTTCCTAAAAATAGTAATAAAAACATGTATAATACCTCTATATTTCGTTTTAATGGCTTGGATTAGAATTACTAATTATAGTAAAAGCTTTATTATCATTCAATTAAAAAAAACTTGTAATATTTATTCTGAAATATTTTTTTTCCTACGCTATCAACCTTTTCAATTTACCTTTCCATATACAAGTATACCTCTCTCTCTCTCTCTATCTATCTATCTATCTATCTCACTCTCTCGCATGTGCACTGTCCCGTTTATTTACTTTTAATTAAGTTTTCCCTCTTAAACAAGAAAAAAATCTCAACTCAGGTTATTATAACCCAAAGAGAAGAAGGAATCATCTTGTTCAGTGTCACGTTTTATTCTGTTGTTAATTTGTTTTGGAATTTGGGTCATTTTTCCAATAAATTTTCCTTTTCTATTAAAGATATTTAATACATGACATAAGCTTTATATAAATAGTATATATATATATATATATATATCTAAATATACAGCATATATATATATATATATTCTATACAATTTAACTATTTTTAGATTTTATGAGATAAGTAATTTATCAAATCTTTTCTGAATAGCGTTCTCTTTTCTTATTCGAATATATAAATGTAGCCCTTGTAATTGCTTTATAGGTATTTTACTCAAAAGGACCGACAAGGAAAAATCTATTAGAACGTTAAGTTATGTGAATAGCCGAATAAATTTTTTTACCTTTAGTCTTGTTTTTCACCTCTTAAGGTGTGTTTTTGTGATTTTATCGAAATTGAAAGATATTAATAAATTTCTACTTAGAAAAACTAACCTAAAATATGAATATTTTTTTCAATTTTCTTAAAGTTTTTTCAAATTTTTTAAATAGAAAATCACCTTACAATAATACAGCTATTCAATTCATACAAATTTACCTCTAAAGCAGGTCCCCATTTTGAGCTTGGTTCTATCAATGTTCGTAAATTCAATACTTTAATAGCATAAGGGCCTCTTATAACCCACCATAAATTCTGTCGAGTTAAAACTATATAGTTAAATATGTATGAAATAAAGTACTTGTAAACGTAGACTTATATAATTAAATACAAACCTTTAATGATCCTACACAATTAGCAACTTTAATAATCATATAGACTGGTAAACACAGTAAAATTGCACTAACAATTAACCAACCAAGTGCTTCTGCCCATTGTGGATAAGTATAATTTTCGTATTTCATTCCATCATATTCAATAAACGAAGCAATGATTATAAACTGAAAAAGAAATCAACTTCTAGACTAGTTGAACGAGACAAATTTTATCAATTAGATCATTTAGAATATCTATAGTATACGCTATTTTTAATTATAAAATTTGAATTAATATCTTATTAACATTACCACAATTATAAGAGGGGTTGCAACTGTCCAGGAAAATTGCCAATAAATGCAAGGTTCGAAGCCTATCATCGTTGAAATATCCTTAAGAATCCTTTTCCTACCTATTGTTTAAAGAGATCAAAGTTAAATATCACTATCATTATTTTAGTATATAAATGCAAGAGTATCAACCGTAAATGTACATCAAAACGATAACTTCCAGCAGAACGACTACCAATAGAGGAAATGAAGTAGCATAAGTGTCAATTAATTCCAGCATATACATTCCACCCTTTGTTGTTAGTAAATAGACAGTTAAATAATAATTGAAAACATTCAAGAAAAAGCTTGCCTGTGTTACGCATGGAAAGCCCAAAAAGAATAATAAAGTACATATAATGGCGGTAAAGATAATAGACTTCCTCCTTAATATTGAAAATTCGTCCACGAATGCGCTAACTATGGCTTCTATTCCCGCAAACTAAAAATTGGCCGCTTTATTAAAATCTAAATATTTGTTATTATTTACTTTTTTAATGACTAACCTGACTCCCCAAACCTAGGACAAACAGCATAAAGAAAAAGCATATGGACCAGAAAGGACCTCCTTTCATTTGAGCTAGAGCTTCCGGATAAGCTATAAACGCTAGACCGGGACCTATTTTTATATATAGAAAAAAAATTGCTTCTAAATTGCACCGTCTTTTATTCATTTGTTGATATTGAAATAATATTTATTTACCAGAATTTTTGACGACATCCTTTACTTCTTGCTGAGTTTCGTGAGCCATAAAACCCAAAACGGAAAATATGACGAATCCGGCAAATATGCTCGTTCCAGAATTTACAAGAGCAACAATTAAGGCATCCCTTTAAGAAATTATCTATTAAAGTATTTTCTCCTAGTATTCTTTAGTTAAAATATTCAAGATTTAATGTTTTAACTCGAAACTATCATTCTATCCTTGGAATTTTAATTATTTCCATTTTTTCCCTTCAGCAATTTTTTAAATATAAATCATGCTTTTTTAAGTATTAGACCGCCTTTGTTTCAAAATCGTGCTCGTTTAATTATTGCTCTTTAGAATATGATATTTCTCATTGTTTCCATAATTTGTACTAATAACGCCATCTGTTGGCTATTTTCAACACGCCTACGCAGCTTCAAATATCTCATCTCTTATGCCTACTAATAAAAGCGATAACATATTATCTAACCTGTGACAGTTATTATTAAATTTATTATAACTGGACATTGTAAGTAGACCTCCAAATCCCGGACCTAATGAATAGAGAATTTGGACGGCAGCAGCTCTCCAAACCTTCAAAATGTTAAAGATAAAATGTTAAAGGACGTATTGTATACGTTCAAGTAAACTTGTATTACTTTTGAATGTTTCATCATCTCAAAATCAGGTTTTAAATAAAATTCAATTCCTTTACCCGCTCCTTTTAATGTCACACCTCTAAAAAACAGTATTAATAAGATAACATAGGGAAAAGTCCCTGTAAAATAGGCAACCTGTTTTTTAAAAAAAAAATGTTATCTCAATTTATTTATTTTAGATTAAAAAAAAATTAATAGCCTACTTTTCCAGAACTTTTTATCCCTTTCATAATACAAAGAAACACTATAACCCAGGCTAAAAGTAAAAATAGGACTAATTTCCATTTGAGCCCACCCATTTCGTGTATACCATCGGAAAGATCCAAAACATTTTCACTTTAATAATCAAATGTAAATAGATACATAAATTTTATAAAGTATGCAAAATTTATGATTATCATAAATCACGTTTATATAATACTTACTACCAGAAAATTTCAGATGGAGTCCTATCATTCGGACTCGTACAGTTTATGACCGTTGAAGAATTTTTTGTTAAATTTGCTGTAGCAGTTACTGCTTGTGTTGTATATTCTAATATTTGTGTTGAGTTAATTAAAGTTGTATTAGTGGGACAATCTATAATTCAAAGGATACGACCAATCAAAAGCTTAACATTTAACTATAATAATAATTCGTCTACCTGAGAAGTGAGCTTTGCAATTAATCCAGCCAGGATGGCAGTAGGACCAAGGTAATTTAGAAGTGAAAGAATAAAATAAAAAGATGAGTGTATATCCAATTACTACATTATAGTATATTGATACTATTGAAGAGATGAAAACCATCATATAACCAAGTCCTGTAACGTGATCTTTTATTTCTATTTGAAATGATATTAAGTAAGATTTAAAAAGAACTATAATAATAATAATCTGTGCAGAATTCACTGCAATAAATAAATGAATAATATATTATACACAGATTTTGCCTAGAGAACTATAAACTGGTGTATACTTGAGAATATCATTTAAAGAAAAATAGGCTTTAAACCTCAATTTTCTTTCTATTTGAAAACTATACCAGTTTTTCTAACCTTTAAATAATGGACATATTCTCCATATTGTAATTGGTCCTAGTGAAGCGTACTGTCCAAATGCCATTTCAAGGAAGAACAATGGAAGACCAAGGAAAATCAACATTAAAATATATATTATGAGAAATGCACCTAGAAATCAAAAATCAACAGAGTTTATGGCTATATTATTCTTTTTTCAATACTTTTCATCTGATTTAACGAACCTCCTCCATTTTGGTAGCATTGATGTGGAAATCTCCATATATTTCCCAAACCAACTGCAAATGAAATGCATGAGAGTAAAAATTCAACATGTCCTGACCAAATAGCTCTTGGTTTTTCGTCATTTTTTACTTCTACATCGGAAGTTGATTGTTGATTTGTTGAGTAATTTTGATGATTATTATTCGAGTTTATTTCTACTGTGCTATCGCTCGAAGGTTGTCTTTCCTAATTGTAATTCAATCATAATAAGAATTTATACTATCTTCAAATTGATTGGAAAGTAAAAGAGTTAAATATTTGCTTTACCGTTTTCATAGTTTATTAAATCTCTTCTTTTAACATACTAAGATTAAAATTAAAGGTTTTATATGATCCTTTTAAAATATATTGCCTTACGTTACATTTATTTGCAATAGAATTTTGTTGGAAAACACCTTGTTATTTTAGAATGTTGTCACTTGGAATACCTGCTGACGTCATTTGCTCAGGTGAGTTGTAACTATGACGATATTTCCCGTGTAAACACGCACCCGTTTACTATTTTATACGTAAAGTTTCGAACAATTATCGAAATCCTTCATCCCTGAAAGCCTATTTGATGAAAAGTTTAATCCTATATTTATCAAACACAAATAAATCAGATAAGAATTTATAAAATTGTTGTGTTTCCTGTTTGAACATACAGATGGCGTTCAGAGTTGTCTTTATTTATATTTTTATGTAACAACTTGTGTCAATTTTCACAATAATTTGACAAAAATATTATTAGAATAAAAACAAAATTGTCTTTTATTATATAACGCTACGATATATTAAATAAATTTAATGCAAGAGTTTTAATGCTTTCCGATACTTCATCGAACTCCTGTCCAACCATTGATTTCAGAAGGGAGTACCACGCTATATTAAGCTCTTGATTTAATAAATAGAAAGCATGAGTAGCAAATAGGTTGCCTTCTCTTTTCCTCAAAGCAGAACTAAAGGCAACAATATCGGCTAAATATCTATCGGCTTCGGCAAGATCAATTTTTGTAATATTACGTATAAACTTTAAAATCAAACCAGTCATGTAGACATCATCTATGTAAAAGTAGTTTACATGCTTGGTTGTACTGTAAATATCTAGTGATAGATCTGCGGTGTATATAAAGGCTGATCCTGAACAATAGGTTGGATAAATATTCATTTCCGGTAGAAAATGTTTAGGAATGCACCACTTTCTTAAGTTCTCCTTACAAGTTTCATCTCCCATTCGAATAATTGGACTTCTACTATACAAATAACATATGATTGTACGTTTTTTGTTCATATGCAATTTCATTAGCTGTAGCATATAGAAAGGGTTAATGAACATATCATCGTCCGATTTAACAACATATTTGGCTGAACTGCAATAAGTTGCTATCCATTTATGAATGCCTGTTGCTTTATATGTTAAATTCTTATAATTGTCTATAAAGCCTATTTGAATAATATCTCCATATTTTCGTGATTCTACTTCAATTGCCTTTTGACGTGCTGGTACATTTCCTACACCAACGAAAAATAGTAATAAAGATGGATAATTTCGAAAAAAGTTATTTTGAGCCCAAGTGTTCCTTTGAGCATCTCTCCTCCTTAAATTTTCTATTGATGAATGAATAGTAATAATGTAAAAAATATTCCTGTTTCTACATATAGTCTCATTGTTTATAGGATAAACAAAATTGAATGAATTAACTATATTTGGCATATAATCAAAATTTTCTGGTTCAGTAAAATTTTTAGAGTAGAAATATGAATTTTTAAAAACAAGAGAATTTAAACGAATGCTACTTATTGATAAAAACCATACAACTGACCAAATCAGAATTATAAATATCAGAGTTATCCTTGCTGTTCTCAGTGCCATGATGCAGATGTTAGCGTCGTATATGTAAAGTTAATAAAGTAGCCATATGTTCGTATGTGAACGTTTTATTCATTTTTTTTTGTTATGATATGGTAAAGTAGTCTTATTTAGACATTTCTTTTAAGAGGAAAATCAATAAATGTTCTTTTCAAAGTTGACGCATATATTTTTTTTCCAAAAGTGTACAAACACTAGCTGAACATCGTAATATGTTTGCACATATACAGATAGATATAGATGCAGTATGTTAAAGGTGTTTAAATACGTATTTCATAATAGCATCACTTGTCCCCCTTTTAAATATTTATATGCTGTATGTGCAAAAGTACGGAATGCATTTTGGTTTCTTTCATCTATTTATAATTATATGCTTACTTAGCATTTTTCTTTGATATTTCATATTTAGATAAACCTATTTATGTAAAAACAAACTGCCAAAGTGTTTACATATACAGGTAAACTTTATTCACTTAGCAATATACATTTTTGAATCAATTCTTAAATATCGATCTTGTTAGCAGATGAATAAACGCTGATCTATCGTTTATATACAGTATATTACTTACATCAAATACTATATTTTTATACAGATGTATATACAATGATATCAGCTATCACAAAAACGAATGATGAACTAAATAGCGACCACTGACATCTATTCTAAATGATATATTTGTAATAATAACAAATAGGGTAACATATGCTGTTTGACGTTAACTTACTGACCCAGCATTTAACAATATGACATCGTTACATATTCTTCAAATTTATCTCTGCACAATTTCAATTTCTGTCCACGTTGTTTGTATCAATCAGGAGTTCAAATTAAGGCAATACCTTAATGTTTTGCTAACTAACTATAGCAAGAGTGTTAGACCAGTTGAAAATTTTAATGATAGAATTCGAGTTAACATGGAAATTGATTATATACAAATGATTTCCTTAAATGAGAAATCTCAATTCTTAAAGTCTGTTTTATGGAAAAGACTTCAATGGAAAAATTTTTTTATCAATTGGAATCCGCAAGATTACGGAAATATTACACGAATTGACATCGATCCCCATTTACTTTGGACACCAAATGTTATTCTACATCAAAAGTAACTTGTGCTATAAAGATAATACTAATAGAATACTTATTTAAATATTTGCTTAGCGTTGAAAAATTTGTTGCTCATACTGACCGTAAAGAAAAAGTATTCGTACAAGCCGATGGTAGTTGCTCATGGATAGTACCTGAGGTTTTTAAAACAACCTGTGCAGTTGACATGACTAATTTCCCGTACGACAAGCAGACATGTATGCTAAGTTTTGGCTCATGGACAAATAGCATCGACAAATTTGAGCTTTCCACCAGCGAACCAACATCGTTTCATCTTAGATATTATAGAAATAATTCAGAATTTAACATATTAAGCGTAAGACACTTCTCTGGTGGACTGCTCTATACATCTGGTTATTATGAAAATATAACATTTGAAATACATTTTGAGAGAAAAGGCGATTTTTATGTTCAGGTAAGTGAGAATGAAATAAAAGTAATTTCTTTTCCAATTTCTTTTCCAAAATTACAGTTTATAATCGTGCCCATTAGCCTCTTATCGTTTGCTACACCATTCGTTTTCTTTCTACCATCTTCTAGACCTGATCGAATGACAACGGGAATGGCACTTTTCTCAGCAACAGCTTTAATATTTCTGGTTATTGTGCAAATTGTTCCTCCGGATCCTCGTATTAAATTAAGTATATACTGCTGCGTTAACCTTGCTATCATAGTCAGTGTGACATGCTTATCAATATTAATTGTACAACTGAGTGAGTTTCGAAGAAAGCCTCCGAATTTCTTGATAAGGGTAATGTTTGTTAAAGTTAAGCTCAATTATTTATAATTAAATTATAATGAACTGATTTCTTTTATCTAGCTGTCAAAGTTTACCATTTTGACGAATCGATCTAATAGTGAACCTAACGAAAATTCGAAAGACCTTACATATCAAAATGTCTGGAAAAGCACTTGCAATTTACTCGATAAATCCCTTTTTTTATTTTATGGGATTATGTTTGTTTGCAATTTTATTCTTTTAATGCCATCTTAAAAGAATTTTCTACGTCTTACAACCTTTAATTTGATTTTTACTTAATTAAGAAATTACTTAAATGCGCGGATAAATATAATGTAAACTTAAATACATTTATAAAGACTTTTATAAGGAACTGTTGGACATTTTAAGACACTTTGGACATACAAACATGCAATATACTATCAAAATTGCTTTATATATAATATCTTCTTCTCTTTCTTTCCGTTTTCTAACTGTTCTACTAATTTGTAGCGTAAGGAGAGATGAGCTTGTAATCCATCTAAAAATTGATTTCAAAACGGAAGGTATTAATAAGCTTTAGTTGATTAAAGTCTAAAAGCGTGAAAATTTAACCTTTGGTCGCCTTCTTTGTTCAGAAGGAAAATCGTATTGATTTGTATGCGTGCTAGGAACTGTGCTACGGACATAGTTCAAAGAAGACAGATCTTTAGATCCCAAAAGATCCATTCTTTTTTGATAGTTCTCGTGCTGTTTGTGAAGAAACATGCAGAAGAAACAAACAGACAAACAGTTTAAAGAGCTTGTTGTAAAATAAATTAATGCATTTAAATAATCGATACTAAATTATTGATAAGAGAAAAAATCACTCAAAATGAAGCCTAAGAAAGAACTACTTAATAAAGAACTAATGCTGTGTTTACCTCTCTTCTTGGATGGTGAAGAGAATTATCTAGATTTGACAATTTTTGGGAAGTGTTTGGTGCTCCACCGCCTGGTCGTCCCCAAATTTCATTAAATGCTCTCTGATGCTCTTGGGTTTCCTGTCTTTCGGTTAGTTTTTCTCTTTCGCGATTTTTTTTTCTCTCTTCAGCCAAGTATTCTAACTCAATATGATACTTAGGACTTGAATCATTCATATATCTTCTCTCGTTAGTTTTCTGTGCGATTTTAAATGATAAGATTTAACATATAAATATTTCTTATATGGTTCTTTGAACTATTACTTCCTTGGTGACATCCGATGCTCCAAGATGCTGCTCCAGCAAAACTCCTGTATTCGGATCTCTTCTTGGATTACCAACTTGACCTCTTCGTATAACTGATGCTAAATCTCCCTATAAAAATAATAAAGAACCATTTTTAAAATCTATGAAAATATCAAAACTATCAATTTACATTTTCTTCGCCGACAGCCGAAAACTGTCTTTGTTTAAACTTCTTTTGTTCATCTATTTCTCTACCTATATGATCAAACAGTTAAAGAATAAATTAAAATAATTGGTAGCATTAGCATATCTTCTGATTAGTAAATGGATAGTGTTGATTAGCTTGAACATGATAACTCAAGTTCATAAACGTTCAACTATGTAAGAAAAAAAAACGTACGCAAATCATCTAAATACTGGGATTGTGCTTGCTGCTTCGATCTCATATCAGCTGATGTCCCCGTTAGGGAAGGTAACTCTGCTGGATGTCCAGAGGGTTTCTTTAATAGATCAAACAAAAATTAATGAAAATACTTTTTATTAGGGCTTAATTTGATACTTTTACATACTTCCTTCTTAATTTTTCCATATACGTGAGTGACGACGTTGCCCTTTTCATCTCTAATTGGTGCACCAGCTCCACCTATGAAAAGGAAATACAAATTGATATCTCTATATATCAATATAGATATATGGGCATAATTTATTTTCCAGCAGACAGTTTCTTAAGTTTTACAGGCTAAATCATTTTATAGAAAGCATTTAACAGGAAGAGGCTTAAAAAGATGAATGGTTTTTTTTACATCTAGGTACATTTGTAAAATGTAGCTATTCAACTTATCAAAGAAATAATCCATCTACTTAAATAACTCGTATAATAATTAATAATCCGTAGAACGATCCTCCGAGAAACAATTCTTCCATAAAATAAGCTATACAGTATACATTGCTGCCAAGAGTATGCTAATTTCAGTATTGCTTCAAGCTTTAATGCAGCTTGGATTCAATGAATTGAAACAAAAGAAAGCCTATTCATTATATTTTCTGGCCTTTCATAGAAAGCTAACTATTATTGAGCTAAAATGAAATTCAAAGGAAAAAAGCTATCTTTTATGAAAAGAAGTAGAATGCGTCGAAAATAATTATTACCAGAATAGTAACATTGTACATTTGTACTAAATAAATCTGAATTTTTAGTATTATTGTCTGTAGATTTATCAATCATTCGATTAATAATATGTTTAGCTTCGTTCCCCTAAGGAGGCTTACCTTTTCCCCATGGATTATAGATTGGTTCTGGTTCATCAAACTTATCAAAACGGGAAGATCTTGACGGAGAATTGCTCTCCCACAAAGGGTTTTGCTCTTTAATAGAAGGGTCTTTTTACGGAGATAAATACGGAATTAATTAATTTGTATTAAATTATAGAAATATAATACGTACCTCCGAATTCGGACTTGTGCATAGTTTGTGGAATTCTTGCAGTAATTTTACCGCTGTTAGTTCTTAAAGGTTCTCCACCACCGCCTCTCTTTGTTAATTCTAAAGTCTTGGTCTAGAAATGACGTAAAATAAAGTATTAAAAATCAATTAGTTTTTACAATAACTTTCATAATTTAAAAGAAAAAATATGTGCAAAAATTAACTACTTCAGAGTAATTATTGCCATTAGTGCTAGTAAACATTCCCAAATCTTTATCGCTCCTATGAGTTCTCTTAGCGTCGCCGTGCTCATCGTAAACAGGATTTCCCGCTCCCTTACCCCATGGATCATATCGTGAAATATCATCCTATATAGAGTTTATCATTTTTTATTTTGAAAAAAAAAAAAGAAATAATAATAAAAATATAAGAAATGTGAGGTTTTCTTTATAAAAGGAAGAATTGTTTGACAAACTTACATCTAAAATTAATTTTCCAGGAGTTAAAGAATCTGCAAAAAAAGAAGGGAAAAAGTAAAATTTATGATATTAATCCATAATAAAGTTTATAGCTAATTTAGTTTTCTTTCTCTTTCGCTGTTAAAAGAGATTATATAGATTGTTTTTATTATCAATTAGATCTCTTTTTATATATATAAAAACGAATACAGTACAAAATAAGAAAATAAAAACAGCTAAAATATAGAAATAGACGAAAAAAAATAAATTTTTGTGTTCAATCTTTGTGTTCAAGAAAAAAGAAATTAATTTTTAACTAACTTAATTAGGTTGATTATATTATATTTTATTCTTTTTTATGTAAATTACATATTTTGCATACTGTAGTCTATTTTAAAGGAAATATTATAATAGTATTGATATTCAGTACGAAACTCTTATTATTAATTATTCTAAATTTTGCTTTGTTAATCCATATTCCATTAAATAAAATGGTAAATAAACTGTTTGGTCTTGTTTGAATATGTTTGAATATGTTTTCGAACTGTAAAAATTAAAGATTTTCACTTAAATTAAGCAATCAATTTCATTAAATTTGTTGTATGAGAACAAAATAAGAAAGACCTTAAAAGCTAATTCAAATTATATATTTTACAGGTATATCGAATGACGAAATAATATTTTAAATTCCCATGATAAAGCCACAAAAAGCGATATTGTAAATAGTATTGTTCTTATCAATCCTCTCATATACTTCAGAATGATTAGTAAAAATTTGAAAAATTTTGAATTAATTTTATAGCTGTTAAAGTGGTTAAAAAAATCATCAGCGTGTTCAACTACCTCCTAATGAACTCTGATTTTCCCTTGAGAGTACTTTTGTCCTGCCGAGAACAGGGTTACCTGAGAGTAAAGATCAATTTTTTGGGTTAAATGACTTATCTAAAAGAGGCTAGTGCTAAATCCATATTTTAGTAATATTAGAATATGTTATTCTTTAATAAATTTATGTTTAACTCAGAGGAAATGGGTAATAAACAACGTTTACCTCTGGGAGAAATATTTGGTGCTCCAGCACCTGGTCGTCCAAAAGGGTTATGATTAGTCTGTAATATTCCATGAAATATATCTCTGTTATTATCAATAAAGATAGCTTACATGTTCCATATCTTTTTGGCGCTCTTGGTGCTTTCTCTCGTAGTCAGTCATTATCTTTTCTGACAGTTGCTGATCTGTCAAAAATTTTATTATTAATGATATGATTTGTTTCTATTAAATAATGAATTTAGAATACTAACCGAGTTCTTTTCTCATATTCATCTTTCTTTCAACTGGTTCCCGATATCTAACCTCAATTTCGTTTATTCTCTTACCCTCCTTCGAGTCTTGGAAGCGAATAGAAGGATCGGCTGGGAGTTCTGTCATTCTTTCACCTCTCGAATTTAAAATAGGAGCTCCAGCACCAGGTTTACCAAAGTTGCTAAAGAAATCCTTAAGGAAGAATGAATAAATTAGGAAAATTGCTCTCTTTATTAAAAATGGTTAATAACGAGGACATGATACATTAAAAATGATTAATAGTTAAAATACTAAAGGAAACGGGGGTCTTAACATTGTTAGCTCTTTGCTATTAGATCTTTCCTTCTGCTAAATTACCTTATTTTACCTTTATCATCTTCCTTATAAAGGAAAATTTATACAAAAATCCCTTTGACTTCAAAGAAATAAGGGCTTCATAACTCAAGGACAACTATAAGCCTTACTATATATAGATTCCTTTGGAATCGATAGAATTTAAATGTAGAAGCCCATTCAAGTTAGTCCTTACTTACAACTAGTACAACTACTTACGTCGTTAACACCGACTTCGTCTGCTGGTCTTTGTTCACCACAAGAATGTTGCCCTAATTGTTCTTCGGTAAATTTTTGTTTTCTTGGTGATTCTTTCGGAGCGCCATGTCCAGGTCTTCCCCACGGATCATACGATTTCAACATTTCCAAGTCCTAAACAAATACAACGTAATTATCAATATGTTGTTCTTTAAAAATTCAACTTTTACCCCACCTTTTTCTTTTCGTTTTCTTTTTCCAAAATTTGTCGCTTTCTCTCTTCTCTAAATGATAATATATCTCTCTCGGCTTCCATCTGTTGCTCTTTAAATTTCCTTATTTCAGCAGATCTGAATATATAGATATTTAAACTTTCAGGAAATAGAAGTATTTCTGATCTGGTTTACAACACAAACTGCCGTCGTTTCATAAAAAAAACCCTAGTATGAGCACACCTGCTACAGCAAATTTTAAGCCTATAATAATGTGCTAAGGAATATATAAGTAAAGAAAAAAGCTTCAAGTACTCACGTGCGATCGTTAAAAGGGTCTCTGATATTTCTAGCCCTTTGTTCTGTCGAAGGGAAGTTTTCAGATCCATAAAGTACGCCACTAGTACCATTCATGGTTGATCTTGCTGCAATAATGTTAGTTTTTTAATTAATTTTTGCTAAGAAACTATCTAATCGAGTAATAGAATAAATATGAGATAAGATCAATAAATGATTGCAACGTCGATTATAAAATCAATAATAATTTGAAATATTCATCGAAGAATACTTATTTACAAGAGAAAGGAAATGATTCTTACACGGGTTGAAGTGTTGTTGTTTCGGAAAGTCGGGTAATATATCTGATCCTTTTTCAAATTCTCTTGGTCTTTCAAAATTATTTTTTGAGAATCCTTTAATCCTATGATCAGGTTCCAATCTTGACTGATAAGGATTTTGATATTGGAAAGATTGATAATCTCTTGGAGTCACTATTTTCCGATTGAAAAGAATTACAAAAAAAGATGTTATATACATATATATGAAATTTCAAGCATTTCTCAATATTTTCTTTAAAATAATCATTATCTTTTATAGATTGTCCTATTGTAGCTTAATTCAAATCTAAACATAAACATTGTATTGTATTACTATATATATATATATCTATATATATTTATGAATATGCTGTATATATCTAATATATTCTCTATATAGATATAATAAAAACAGATTAATACATTCATTAGAAATTCATGCTGTGCAATAACTAGACGTTTAAGTAATGTTACTCTTGATTCACTTCTATTAACAGCATCAAAAGTAAGTAAGCAAATAAATACGTGCTCTTTTTGTTAGATTAACGAATTATTATTAAAAATGAGATAAAACCCTCCACCAACCTAAAATTCCTTCCAAATTTCTATCTCGATCAGCCCTTATCTTTCTTAACCAATTAGGAAGACTATTATCCGTAGTTGTCTAGTTAATGAAGTTATCATATGTTTAGAAAGAGACTGCAGAATGTAAATCAGTTCATTGAATAGTAATCTACAATTCAGCTTTGAAAGGACGAAGTATTTAATATCGGATTTGAAGGAGTGTAAAGAGACAGGGTCAATGTATTAAATAAGTTATCAATGACTCTATGACAGTAGAAATCAATATCATTTTGTAATAAATTTTTTGTATTAACCAAGATATTTTTCTTTAGTACTTTTATAAATATCTCTCTCTTTTATTGTTTTACTCTGAATATTAAGACAAGAACTTTATAGAAGAAAATAAATGCATTCAATCAGGACTGTATACTGAAAAAAGAACTGAAACATTTGGTTACATCATAAGTTAATTGTTAAGGATGTTAACTAGGTGGAAGAAAAACATTAAGCGAAGCAGGTGGAAAGTTATGGATAGGTCATGAATATATTCAAAATTATTTCTTTTACATACCGTCATGTTCCAGTGAAAATCTTTCGGTCATTGTGAAAAAAATCAATTTTAACGCATTTAACTGTTCTTCTATTGTGTTTGTTCACCGTCGTGGCGGGAGCTAGTTGTTTACATAGTTGCTAGGACAGGATTACGACTACCGTCAGGGATAGAGCAAGTAATTATTTATATCCCTGTTGATTTTCCAATTGGTTTTAATGTTTTTTTTGTCCTCAATAAAGCTTTAATAAATTAGTAAACTTGTTGATGATCCGCTTATAAGACTTCCACCTTTTCTTTCAGACTATTTCCGATTTTTCAATAAAAGGTGTCTTAACGCGAGCCTCTTACAACTTCCTTTCAATCTCAACAATGAACAAAGTATCTACTTTAGACTTTAAATAAATAATACAAAATTAATTATTAACTTAATTATTAATTAAAAATTGTGCCATATTGAAAATATTTTCTATAGCTTCTATTAATTTAAAGATATGTAGTCATCCTATACAACAAATATTAACAATTAAATCTCATAGATGGCAGTTAAGTTGTTTAAAAAGAAAGTATTTTTAATGAAAGTTTGCTGATATGAGAATTTTTTGGTCATAGTTTCTATAGTCAAACATACTTATCAACGCAATCGCCATTTCTTCAACTGACTTAGAAAAGATAGGTCTCTGTTATACTTTATCTCCGATATAGATCCACTTCTATATAATTAATTTAGGCTGTAGAATACTTATGCCTAAAGCTAGCTATTTTAATTATCTACTAAACAAAGGACGTCGCATTACTAAGTACAGCCATATTGAAATAACAATAGCTTTAACAGTAATATAATATTATAAATACATATTCTCATTGCAATAATTTGACCCAGAGACCTTTATCAGTAAAACGCATCAAAATTTGAACTTAACTTATATCAATTAGTTGTGTAATAAACTATATCAGAGTTACATTTATTTATCTTAAAGAGAACAGTTAGTACTTGCTTCATAATTTGAATTTCAGTGTGAGTTACTTTTCTATATGATAGAGAAGATATGAGTAAAGAATAATTATTGTAAATATGTGCAATACCACACATTATCTAACTGAATAACTTTCTTGTTAAACACGAAATTGTTAAATTGTTAGTTAAGTAAAAAACTCGGCTTTCTTTTGCTTTTAATTCTTGATGATTTTTCTTGAGATCAATTCTTTCATAATTTCGTTTGCTCCACCATAGATAGTTTGTACTCTAGCATCAACAAATGCCCTGGCAATCGGGTACTCCATCATATAACCCCATCCTCCATGTAACTGCAAGCATTGCGTGGCGATTCTGTTTTGCATTTCGCTAACCCTGTTGAGATAATGAAATTTTGCTTGTATTAATTAACTAATTTATTTAGCATTAATTAGCTATGCTAACCAATATTTTCCAATCGACGCTGTACTAGAATCTAATTGATTATGATGATACAGCTCGATGCAGTTATCGGTAAATGCTCTACCAACTGCAATCTCCGATTTCATTTCTGCCAATTTATGTTGAATTGTTGATAAATTGCTCAAGTTCTTTCCGAAAGCTTTTCTTTGTTTCACATACTTTCTTGTCTCTTCGAACATGAATTCAGCATGTGCCTGAGCATAAATTATTATCATAAGACGTTCCCTTGGTAAATCCTGTACAAAAAAAATGCGTTAAAAGTAAACTACTTTATTACTGAAGGTTTATTTTTAAAAAAAAAAGCAAAAGAGAACATACATTCATCAAATAATAGAATCCGTGGTTTTCTTTACCCAAAAGAGAATCGGCAGGTAATTTTACATCTTCAAAAAACAACTCGGCTGTGTCTTGAGCATGAGTTCCAACCTTTTTCAAAGGTTTTCCTTTTGTGAAACCTGGCATTGAGGCATCAACCAAAAATAAGCTGATACCGCTTGACGCATTTTTAGCCTAGAATATAATTGCAAATTATTGTATACATATCAAGTTACCGATAGTAAAGATGCACACTATATTTGTAGATATAATGCTGCTCTATATTATTTGAAACTTCTAGTTTTTATCACTTTATCAAATATGAATACTTACCGATGTATCTGTAACAGCAACAACAATACACAAATCACACATGTAACCATTTGTTATAAAAACTTTTGATCCATTTAATATCCACCCATCTCCATCTTTAACGGCCCTGGATTTAATTCCTTGAATATCACTAAAAATGATTTAACAAAACACATTTAACCATCTTTATAGTGTTTGATTATATTATAGAATCATACCTTCCAGCTGTTGGTTCGGTCATAGCAATAGCACCAATGCAAGTACCCGCAACCATACTTGGCATATATTTATCAATTTGCTCTTTTGATCCATATCGTGATAAATAAGGCATTACAATGTCACTGTGCAATGTGAATCCAGATAAGCCGCTGACATTGGCGAAACCCCTGCAATGAAAAATATCAATTCTTTAGTAATTTAATTAGTATATTCCAATAAGGAAACTAACACTTCTTCCATAACAATACCAGAGGCTAAAAAATCTCCTCCCCAGCCACCATGCTCGCTTGGAATGTTTACTCCATGAAAACCTGATTGTTTTTTTAAATAAAAAATATTAATTTCTAATTTTTCTTGTCAATTTGTTCATAAAATCTTGTAAATATAACTTTTTCTTGATCTGATAATTTAAATCAACTTTATTTTTACAAATGTTTCCGAGTATTTTTCTTGTTTTCTATACAAAAACAAAGTGTTATACACACCCAACTGAGCTATGCTTAGTTGTTAGCTATTGAGCATAAGCTTATACTTTCAGAATGAAAGAGTACCTTGTCTTCCAGCTTCTTCCCATACTTCTCTGCTAATATGACCCTGCTTTTCCCATCTTTTACGATTTAAAATTATGTTAAAAGAGAGATACTTTAACAACTTTTATATTAAAAATATAGCTTACTCTTCATGATAGGGTATAACATTTTCTTGTATAAATCTTCTAACTTGACGTCTGAATATATCGTGTTCTTCGCTGTAAATACGTCTAGTTCCCATATCTAACATAGAATCTGCTTGGCACGGTTCTAGACGTCTAACTTCCTGTTGTTCTGTTTTAACATTTTGAGTTTCCGTACTGAAACTTTTGTGACAATCTATGTTATAATTGTTTTAAGAAATTGTAGATGGTAACAGAAATTAACGGTTATGTCAAAACTATGCTGAATGTATTTAAACTGCGATAAAGTCGAATTAAAGATAAAGAAGATGAACTTTATGAATAATCCAAGATTTATACAGTATAATTCATAGTAAATATATACAATAACATACTTTCTCGATGAAATGGAGCTAATTGGCTTGAAGTTGTAATTCAATTTCGGAATATGTCGAAAAAATCTAACGGAGTTTCTTGCCATATTTACCACTGTTGAAGGAGTCATATTTCTTCGCTAATTGACCTTTGCGTTATGCTATCTATATGTACAATGGCACTTATCGCATTTGGCGCTCTACGATTCAAATGAGCAGTTTTAACATTATATGCAGTATATATATTGAATGTTGTGAAGCTGTACGGTCCAAAAACTCAAAGTTTACTGATAAAAAATAATAGAACGCATATGTTTATCTGTTTAGGACAACTTCTTTGGCATGTAACAGGCTTTTATAAGCCGGAAAATAGGATAGTTTGATTTTTAAGTCATATCAATCAATAAAATAACTCCATAGAAGAAATCATTGATTTATTACATTGTATAATTTATGCTATCTTTATACATTATATCTGCTTTTAGATGTACGAAATATCTAATTTAAAATAGTCTTTAAGTAGTAGAAATATAACTTTAAAATTTTTTTTGTTGTTATTTATTTTCGACAGAATGAAATATAGTTCGAAAATATTTAGATAATAGAATAACAATGTTATATTAAATATTATCATAGTATTTAAATTTGACACACTTTTCGTTAATCCATAATTATCTGTCTGGCTATCAACTCTTTCATAATTTCGTTAGCACCTCCATAAATTGGTTGAACTCTGGCATCTAGAAAGCTTCTTGCGATTGGATATTCCATCATGTAACCCCAACCGCCATGCAATTGCAAACATTGGGTTGCAATCCTGTTTTGCATTTCGCTAAGCCTGCAAGTAAATTTTAATGTTAGTTTCATTAATTTGGTATCTCCCACTCTTATGAAATCATTATTGAATAATTACCAATATTTTCCAATTGAAGCAGTACTTGAATCTAACTCTCCTTTATTGTATAAATCGAGGCACATGTCTGTAAATGCTCTTCCAACAGCAATTTCAGATTTCATTTCGGCAAGTTTATGTTGGATTGTTTGTAAGTTGCTTAAAGTTTTTCCGAAAGCTTTTCTTTCTTTAACGTATTTTCTCGTCTCCTCAAACATAAATTCAGCTTGGGCTTGTGCATAGATAATAATCAGTAAACGTTCTCTTGGTAGCTCCTAGTAGTATAATATATAATTAATAATTATGTACTTAAAAAGCCCATCAAAAATATTTTATACCTGCATAAGATAATAGAATCCATGATTTTCTTTACCGAGTAAAGCGGAGGAGGGAAGGCGAACATCCTCGAAGAAAAGTTCAGCCGTATCTTGAGCTTTGGCTCCTATTTTATTCAACTTTTTTCCTTTCTTAAAACCAGGCTTATCTGCATCAACCAAAAACAGACTTATTCCATGAGATGTAGATTTCGCCTGAAATAAAAACGGGTACATGTTAATTATTTAAATTTTAATAAAATATTGAAGGATTTCAAAAACTTCACTAACTGTTCCATCGGTAATAGCAACGACGACGCACATATCACACATGTAACCATTTGTAATAAAAACTTTAGATCCATTTAGGATCCAATCATCTCCATCTTTAACTGCTTTTGTTTTAATTCCCTGAAGATCACTGCCAGCTGATGGTTCCGTCATTGCAATTGCCGTAATGCATGTACCGTTCATCATGATGGGCATATATTTTTCAATTTGTTCTTTTGATCCATATCGCCACAAATATGGCATTACGATATCACTATGCAAGGAGAAGCCAAGTCCACTTGCATTTGCGTATCCCCTAGGAAAAGAGAAATGTCAACTAAAAGTTGATTGCAATGATAAAGTAATTTAAAATTACTTACTGTTCTTCTAAAGCAATTGCTGATGACAAGAAATCGCCTCCCAAGCCACCAAACTCAGTAGGAGTTGATATACCTAATAAACCTAATAAAAAATAGATTGTATGTAATATTTATTCTATTTGATATAAACTAAACAAGTCAATGTTTAATACAAATTACCTTGTTCGCCGGCTTGTTGCCATACTTCTCTACTAACTTGGCCATCCTTTTCCCATCTTAAAATATAGAATATTTTGTTTAAGATATGAAATGATTGCTGTCACTTAGACAATTTTATATTTGGCTTATAAAATGGAACAAAAGTTGTTCAAAGTACAAATTTCTCCTTAAAGAATGGCACAAAGTCACGTAAAAGTATTTGCACTTTGAACTATTCAATTGTACATTGACCCTTGTAAAGGAAACAGTCTGTCTATTGATATTAAGATTATATTTTTTATTACTTAAAAATAAGAATTTATAGTTTTAACGCCTTCTTAAATTGAACTATACCCTTTTTAATTAAAAGGTGAAATATTTAAAACTTAAGGTGTTTAAAGGACAGTTGTCCTTAATATAGGTGTGGTTGTAAGAATATAAAAGAAAAACGAACTGAGTATGAAATGGTACTACTCGTTCTTGAAAGAATTTCCGAACTGATCTACGGAACATGTCATGTTCTTCAGAAAAAATTCTTCTCGTTCCTATATCAAGCATAGAATCGGATTGGCATGGCTCTGGTCGAGTTTCTTCGCTAGCTGATGAGTTGAACCTGTTTTAATTTAATAAATAACAATAAAAAAAAGCAATTCTGTAGAATATCGTTCGTTACGTATTGGTTTAGTCTAGACAGACAATACAATTTTATTTACTGTATATATATATATACTGTATATGTTACATAATCATATTATTACACAACTAACTGGTATTAGTCTGGGAGCAAAATCTAGGTTTTTCGTCTGCTAAAAAATTATTTTACCGATTGTATTGAAAGAACTACTTTCTCCCCAAATTTACAGGTAAATTAAACTTTAAACCACAAAATATAAGTACCTTAGTTGTACTGTATTTAGCGAAGCCACATTTCTTTTTAAATTCGTAGCAGAACGTTGTATGCTAATAAAATTTTTGCCAAAACCTTTCAAATACTTTAAGGCAGCCATGTTACAACTCGGAATGTAGATGTCGCTTAAGCATAACATTGATTAATATCCATAAGGTAATTTGTGAAAAGTTTGTATAATCGCATTGGTGATAGCAAAATCTCTTTAACTTCGTCGAAAGATAGTGCGTTAGAGGTTCAGGACTAAAATCTATATTTATTTCTTTATCTATAGGTATATATTCTATATATAGTATATATATTGAGATGACTTTGTAAAAACATATGAACTATAAGCAATGAGGACAAAGAAGTTTTTTTGTGGACAAAATTGTGTATTTTCAAAAAATAACTTTTTTTCGTATACAGGCTCATTTAATACAAATTTTAACAAATACTGCAGAGCATTTTTAAAGAATATAGCTACTTTTAAACGCAAAAAACATGAATTTTTCGGCACGCTATAAAGTAGGCACAATTAACAGTAGTTTTGAAAAACATGACGGGTTTTTTTCTTCCATTATCATTACTGTTAACAAATTGAAGCCTTACAAAACAAAGCTATGCTCCAGCAAAGTATAACAGCTGTCCACATTTTTTTTTTTATTAACAAATTATTTTTCATTACATAATAACGGAAAATACATAATAAATGATAAAAAGTTAACGTTACATCAATAACAATGGACAAAAATTTAGTGTTTAATTAATTTTGTTCAGTTACAATATATGAATACAGCATAAAAGAAAATGCTATAAATAATCTGCATTTGCTAGAGTAAACAAGTAGGTAAACTTTTTTTACGGAACAATACCATTCGTTACTTTTTATCGGTCAGAGACTTTTTTTTGTTGGTATTGAACAAGAGTTATATTCAAATAATTAACTTAAATGTTATCAAACAATAACACAGTCATCATAATAAGATAAAAAAAAGTCCACTCAAATACTGCAGTTTCATGCCAAATTTTCCACTTAAAACAATAAATAATAGCTACAAAAATTTCGATTAGTGTCGTAATTTCTGTACCATTCTGCTCCATATTACTTTGAGCAAACAACTGAAATTTTTTTTGAACAATATGAAAAAAAAACACGAACTTTCGAAAGATACAGACAAATTCGAACTTTTTGGAGCAGAACGCTTGACTCATTTTTTTTTTGCAAAAGTAGACTATCTTGAACAGGACCTATTTGGAATGGCGTTCAAACTCCCATTCATACCTTAACATACATTCGTTTTTTTTTCATGTTCTTATTTAAGAAAGCACACAGTATTATTAATTTATCAGTTGTCAGTTTAACCACAACTTCACAAAAAGCTAGACCACGAAGCCTTATATTCGCTATTTTTTAGTTAACACCTTCGTATTATCATGATCAAACCAAAGAACGCTCATTTACTAGGTTGAAATTCATTAAATAAAGAGAAATCAATTTTGACACTGTGTTAGATTATTAGGAGGGATAGAGATGAGACTTGTCTCAACAATCATGAAACATTCACAAAAGTTCACACAGCAAGAAAGCAATAAATTAAAACAATTTAAACAGCATCGGCCAAATTAACTTCGTTAAGCTTAAAATTTTTCTAAAATAGGGTAAAAAAAGAGGGATAAAATATTCGGAGAATACTTAACAAACCAATTTATAATCTCTTCCCAAAAAATCTAACACAGTCCAAAATGAGACACAGATTTTAAACTTCTGAAGAGTTCGAAGTTCCAAACTGCTACAGTATATATACTTATATTTTATACATATAAACAAATATATGTAGATATATATATATACGCGTGTTTATGTATCTTATAGTCATAACATACATATCTTCTGACAAGTCTGTAAAACTTCGCCAAAAACAACACGATTAGAGTTAATACATGGATATAGAGAACAGGAGAAAAACCATATTTTTTGAATTTTTTGAGTTTGGTCAATGATACAAAACAATGTACAAATATTTACAATTTTATAGGTCTTCCTACATTTTATATTATTTACACTTAGTATTTGGACATTTTAGAAGTAACGCATAGAAACAGAATTGTGTAGCAAACGAAATGTACATTTAATAATACACACTGATACATATAAATATAAATATACAATTTATGTATATATATATTTATGACACACATCTATGATATATATACATATGTGTCGTTATGCACATGAAACATTTTGAAACAGAAACGAACATTCACTCTTTCATTCAAAAACGCAAAATTTGATTATATATATATATATACGTGTATATATATATAGATACATATATATATATATATATTTATATATATACGAATTTAAATATATAAATATATATGCGGGTGCATGTATACATTTACATATATAAACATTAAATACTTCATATATATATATATATAAATATATATATAAATATATATATATATACATATACAAATATACTAACACGAGGATCGAGAAAAGAAGGCGAAGATGCCGCGTCTTTGAGCGTCTAGCGGTTTTATGTTCGTGGTATAAAGAGTAATAATCTGTAGGCAGCACCAGAAAACCAAATTAGAGTAAACACCGCATCACCTTCCATTTTTTTTTAAAAAAAGGACTGCAGTGATAAAGTGCCGGCACTTTTAGCAATAAAATCAAGTGTCCATCAGCACCAGACTAGACAATTTTTTTAAACTTTCCTATTTTGACGCTCCGTTTGTGTTAACGGGTCGATAGTGTGCTCTTCTTTCATTTCTAGGCCTGAATCCAGGTCTAGAACCACGTTGCCTAAATCCTCCTCTATACGAGTTACTTTGCTGAGTGTTACTATCGCTTGGAGCTCGACTTGGAGATTGAGGCGTGGCTTCAGTGGCAGCTTGGGTATTGCTACTACTGTTACTGTTATTATTATTATTATTATTATTATTATTATTGCCGTTTGCAGGCGGTATCGATTCTGGTTCAGGAGAAGTGACAACACCATCACGCTGCGAAGCCTGAGCTACCTTTTGCGCATAGCTCATATTGTTTGCTGGAGTTTTCCATATTTTCCCAGCAACAACTGACGCTAAAGAAGTAGCAGGACTGGAACTTTGTTGAGAAGGCTTGTTGTTGTTTTCCGAAGCGGCTGAAGCCCTGTTAATAAGAAATATATATCTAAAAGAGTTCAAAGATTAACTTTCGATGACTTGGAAATAGCTTTATAAATTTATCAGACTCATTAAATCACACATAACTCTCACATTTGTCAAGAGCGAGTTTGTCATCATTTACAAAATTGCCTTATTAATTAACTCATGTACTTCAAGAAGAGTGGATTGCAATATCCCCTTAAAAGTTCTCAATTGAAGTATTTGCTTTCTTGTTTCCTGCATACCTAACAAAGATAAAATCACTTACTGAGGTGATAAAGACGATCTCGCGCTTGAATTTTTAGAGGTTGTTTCTTTTTTTACTTGTACGGAGTTAAGGCCATTTGTTATCGCTTCCACATCAGCGACAGTCGTTTCGGTTACATTTGCTGTCGGTTGTTGCTTAGGAGGAGTCTTATGCTCTACACTGCTGACGGATGCAGGCGTTGTCTCACGAGGGGTTGGTGTTTTAGTCGTACCCTTCACGACATCGCTCATTCGCTCTGATGAGGCATTCGATTGAACGTTTTCGTTCGATTTACTCTGAAATGAAAAGTCACAATGAAGAAAGAGCCAAATTTTACCCTAAAAAATTCTCACATTAGCACCGGGTAAAGGCGGAAAAGAGTTTGACTCCAATTGAAAATTGGAATCCCTGGAGTTTTTTATAATGGAACCGCCATCCATTCTTCTGGGTTGTTTAATTTCATCTTCATCTCTTCGGCGACCTCGATTTCGAGAAAACTGTTGATTTGTCTGTCGACTGTAAGGGAAATTGAGTTAAAATTGAACTTAGATATTTCGAAATTATACATACGAATAACGAGGTGGCATCTGAGTATTCGGATGTATTTGATGGCCTAGTACTTGTTGCATTGCTTGCATCACATCGACGTTTTTCTGGTGGACAACTCCATGCACAGGATGCGGTTGCATTGAATGAGTTTGCGCTATTTCGTTGCGTTGCTGGCGTGCCGGATATTCTGATCTCGCTAATAACAAAAAATCATCTCAATAACTCTTGTCAATCAACTATGCATTATATATAAATATATCAACATGTAAAATCTAAATAGTACGACTTGGTGACCAGTGAAAATATAGCTTATGTTTTAGTATCACGACCAATTAGTACTGGTGCAAACAATTTAGAATGCCTACATTTAGAATAACTTAAGTTCTTCACTCACCATTCATAACGCCACTTTGTGCTCTAGGGCTGCTTCTGGTCCCATTTGCGCTATTTGAACCTCGTCCTCCATTTGAACCTATACTATTTCTTCCCTGATAGTTTTTCTGTCCAGCTTGTTGGCCATTCCCTCCACTATTAGATCCAGAACCTCCTCCACTTATCTGACTACCAACTGTGTATCCTCGAGCCATAAATGCTGTACTCGGGTCCGTAGTTGGTTGATACTGGAAGATAGGAAAGAAATTCTGAGTAGGAAACATAGACAACTGCTGCTGAGCAGCTGTTTGTTGAGTTTGATTATATGAAGATGTAGCGACTTGTTGCTGCTGCTGCTGCTGACTAAGCGCCATTAATTGCGGGATTGCATTAGCACTTGGGTAAAGTGGAGGTATCATTGTTAAAGGATGCTGTAATAATTGATTCTGTTGCTGTTGTTGTTGCTGCTGCTGCTGCTGTTGTTGTTGCTGTTGTTGTTGCTGCTGTGGCTGCTGTTGTTGTTGCTGAGGTTGAGACTGCGAAGTTGGTGTTTCAGAAGGCGTTGGTGGTTGCTGGGTGACTGAAGCAGTAGAAGCTACGGATCCCGATACAGAAATGGGAGTAGCAGAAGATTGCTGTCTCGTTAAATTTACTGATCGGGAAATTTGGGAATTCGCTTTTGAAGACGGATAAAAGGACCTTGGTGTTACGGCCGGTTTTGCCTTGATCCTTGCCATCAAAGGCTTTCCCAAGAAAGTCTGAACATTTTCCCGCAGATATTGATAGGCAGTCTGAGCTTTTTCTTCTGTTTCAAAATTGACATACCATGCATCATTATGCTCATGCACACAACTAACAAATTTTGGACATTCCGGAGAGTTAAAGAGGCCTTTTACCTGGAATTAACAAACAAGTGTACAAAAATTGAAACTTTTTAAATTTAACAATATTTACCTCATCAACAGGTGTTGACTGAGGAATTTCTCTCAGAATTACGACACAGCGCTTCTGAGCAGCCCTCACCCTCTCGAATTTATCATCCAGCTGCAGCTCTGATGACGTTTTCAGTGCTTCGACGACCAAACTAATATCCTGCGTTAGCTTACGCACCTATGGTAAACAATTTTAATTCCTTACATGTACAATCACGGGTATCATGACAGTTACCTGGTTAAATTTTGCTATTGTCACAATTGGCACGTACGTGTCAGAGTCCATTTGTGACAGTAAATAGGCGTCAGTTGAAAGATTTTCCCGGCGAAAATAATATTCCAGCTGCGAACGAAGTCGATTTAACAATTCGTCTTTATTAAGAACTTTGTCTAAGGTTTGATCGTCAGGTAGATAAACTCCTGGTGCATGAATTGCTGATGTCGGAGCGTCCACTGGGGTCATATCGCCATTAGGTTGATGCAGGACTTCTGACTGATTTGCTGTTGAAGAAAATTTTAGAATATGTACGTAGTTGTTAATCATGAGAAAAATTTAATTTTTATTTAATAGAATTGGCAATGATTGAAAGATGTTCATATTTTGATTATTGGTATGTCTCTCTTTAATGACATCTTTCTCAATCACATTGAAATTAGAATATATTTTGGTGGAAATATTTAAAGCTTACCAGACTGATTAGATGCTTCGCTTTCAGCATCTTGCCATTCATTGGCCCCATTTGCCTGTTGTTGTGTTTCAGGAGCATTTTTCGCATGAAAAGTGCTAGCATTTGGATTCAGTTTATTTAGCTGTTTGAGAAAAAAAACAATATGATACCCTGATTTTAGACAACATATTTCATATATTCAAGAGTGAAAAGTTACAGAATAGCTCAAGTGTTGTAAGAAAAAAAAGATTTTTTCGTTTCACTAACTAAATCAATTGTTAATTTCATTTTAACAGCTGCATCATATGACAAGCATACAACTCTTGTTCAAAAATATTTTCAAATAAAACTCGATGTTATAAAGAAAGACAATTGTATATATAATCAAGATTCTAGAGTAGAACTGAAGAATTGTTTAATTGGGCTTTGGTGTTACCAATTTTCTATAAACATGTATAACTTGTTGAAAAACAGGCTTGTCAGCAGGTCACAGTGAAGTGACATTTGGCAAAATGACTATATAATGAATTGAAGCTCTATTTGTAAAGTTACTTAAAGATTAGGATCGTTTTCAGCAACTCAGTTCCTTTATAGAGTTGCAGCTTTTATTAAGATATTACTAAATTGCCTCTCTTTAGAACCTAGGTTTAGTTTATGTTCAGGTTACTTATTTGATCATCAGTTGGTAGAAGCAATTATATTACTCAGTGGACAAATCAGTGAAACAATATATAAAGAATTTGAAGAATGCAGGACTAACTATAAAAATATTATATTCTCTATAAAAATTCTCTGTTAACAGTTACAGAATGATTATTAGAATAGACCTATATATAATATAGTAGCACTGATATATTTTCGTTAGATACCAGTTTCCAAGATGACATCATGGGTGTACTCTATTGAATAGGCCATTTATTGGAGTCTTCCGAAAATAGGCCTTTTAGTAAAATTTACAACAGTTATTGTCAGAAAAATTAAAATACGCCCGAAATTTGTAAAACAAAAAAAAATTGCACACAAGTCTCACGCCCACGAAACCAGCTTCTACCGGCATCGCCTATGAGGATCAATAATTACGCAACATATTTTATATGTTTTCTCGTAAAATACGCATTATTTCAATTTCAAAACTGATCGAATAGCCTACCCCAGTAGAATCCGTCCTCTTTTTCTTAGTAAAATGTTTATTTTTCCAGCCATCTCCACGTTTTGGCAAAATAGATGGTGTCGACGACCTCTTGACACACACTACGTATGAATTATGCGAAAAAAAGAAAATATCTCCTGGCGAGAGAAAGGACGTTACGGCTGTATCATCTTGAATGGAAACCGGTGTTGAACGTGCACAAATCGTACATCTGTGACCAGCTGTAAACATTGCATCGAACGTCTCTTTTCTAACAGCACAATTTTCACCAGGTGGCGCAGTAAGTTATGTCGCGATCGATACAATCAAAGTAAAAGCGGTGGGTGCATATAAGTTTACGGGATATTTTATGAAAATTTTGTTCACTAATTGATAAAAAATAATGAGATTTAGCTAATTCAACCACTAATGCACGAAATTTGATTCATCGAATACATTTAATCATATTGTAAACAAGTGTCACCAATTTTCATTTAACTATGTTTGTGAGTTCAAAACCCTCCAACCTCTTGTTTCTAGTTCCAAAGAACTGAACATACACAGTTTTTTGAAATGATTTTAAAGTAATCGACCTTAGAAAATATGATGAAAAGGATTTAATTATGAAAAACAATAGAAAATAAGACTACGTTTAGCAATTAGGGAAAGAAAATATCATTTTTTAAACAAGGCTTTCGCACAATAAACTTGTAACTTGCCTCCTACCTTACATAAAAAGTTATAAATAGCTTACCTGATGATCCGAATGGGGCAAAAAAGGTTGGGAATTTGCGACATTAGCTGAAGACCGACTTTCTGCTTGCTGTTGCTGCTGGGCTTGAATCGATCGAAGATACATCTGACACTGCTGTATTAATATAAAAATATTAAATAAAAAAGGGCTTTCAATATTGACCAATGCAATAAAACAGGGATTCTATTCATGTATCGCTATCTTTATAAAAAAAATATGAATAATATCTCATGTTCATAGCCTGGATAACTGCCTAGGCCTGTATATTACAGGAACAGGTGTAAAAGTATAGGTGTATAAACACGTTTAAATTAAAAAAATTTGAGCTCTAATATGAGACGCGGAAGTGTAAAAACATCTGTATAAACTCATTTAATATAAATCATACCAATAAAATCTAGCTTTTTTAAAACTGATTATTTCTAACAAGTAAATACTTGTAAGACATATTAGCTCGAAATGGAGGGTATCTTTTGAGTATTTATATAACAATTCGTTCAAACTGCCAAATATTTTGGCTTGTGTGTCTCTAGCATAGGTTTTAGTAATACTTCTAACAATGAGAATGAAATTTCAATACTGCTAGAATTGATCTAGTTGATAAGACTTGGCTGTCTTTGAATAGATAACATACCAGATTGGGATAAAATAAGGGTTGCTGCATAGAAAGATTCGGCGGAATGTACGCAGCGCCCTGTTGCTGTTGCGCGTCATCTTGCTGCCACTGCATATTAGGCCAAATATGATTTTGACCTTCTTGTTCGAACGAATTAGGCCAATTAGAATTTGGTACTGTATCAGCAGGTTGCATAATATCTGTTTGATAATCCCCTACTTTTCTTTCAATTCCTTTAATCCTTGTTCATGTCCAGTGTAGACGTAATCTGTTGAAAAGAAAAGATATCAAACATTTCACGAGACAGGTATGTACTATAAATAAACATGTTGATTTATACTTATAAATATCACTACAGGCATGAATATAATCATTTACGTATATATAGAATAAGCTACACTCAAGTTTAAGGATTATTCTATAAAATTTACGGTTTCACAGCTCCTTCATTTTCTATAAATAAAAATAAACGTTTGACTTAAAATGGTAATATCGATCAACTATAGTAGCCGCAACTGTACAGCAATACTGCAGTCATACGCCCCGCCTATTTGACCTTGATTGACCTTGTTGCTATAGTTACATGGTAGATTGTTGTTATGCAACTCCTTATTATCGCCCATTGATTAGTAATTAACGATAACTAATGCGGGCAGTACACATCATATGGTTTTGCTAAAAAAAATTTAGCGCTTGAGAGACAAAACAAATTTTTTGAAGTTGTTACAATGTATATATTTACAATGTTAAAACAATAACTATTTGGGAGGAATTAACAAAAAAACACCGAGATTCAAAGCATTAGAAACCATCCAGACATTTGAGAATTTTAGGAGTAGTCTGTCGACAGGCCTACGATCACGTGGCAACACTTCCAAGAAACCTTATATCGTCTAAATACCTTTTTAAACAACTGAAACTTGGCATAACATGTTATTTCGACAAAATAAACGTTTAACTTTACTCGGGCATAGTAAAATAGGAAATAAACCGCAGAAAATTTCGACGTTGCTTAATAAAGTAGGACGATCAAACATGGCTGCCAACTGATCATGAACGAGAAAACTAAATTGCAAAAAATACTAACTTTTCAGCCAAATTCTTTAATCCGTGTTAATCTATGATAGTGGGCATATATTTTAGAACAAAATTCCCCCTTAATTGTTTTGTAATAGATGGTAAAATGAGCGCGAAACGTCCTCGAAAAATGTTATGGCCGTCTTATGTTGGAGGAGTTAACCAGGTAACCACTTCATGGCCACGTGACTTCCGTCAGCGTTTTCGATTTGTTCCGTATTTTTGAGGGAAAGAATTTTGCAATATTTCTATTTATACACACAGATATCCAAAAAAAAAAATACTTTTGTCATATTAAAAAAAATAAAAACCTTATATTCAATGTTCATTGGATTACTTCGCCACCGATTTGCTTTGTCACTCTCCTTATGACCTTTGATTTAGGCTAAGACTATTGTTCTAACAAAAATTATGAATATACGTCATGTGACTGTTCACTATCACTTTCCTAATGTTTAGCAGCTGACTCAAAAAAAATGGTTTTACAAAATAACCATATTTGACCTATTATCGTTGTGAACTGGTTTTTCTTTCACAACTGAAAATAATTCTTATTCTATAAATTAACACTACAGATTTCAATCGTAAATTTTTCACCTGGTTCGGAAAATCCGTAAAACGTGTTTTTTTGTCTAATATCACTTTCAGTTAAGATACAAAAAATTTAAGCGAAACTATTTTCATGCTTATTACCAAAGCGGTTTTTTTGTGAAAAGTGTTTTGTATCATGTTTATTTTACCTTGACTTCAAATGTCTGGCATAAATGTAGCCCACTCCCTCAATTTTTTTTTATGTAAGATAAAAAAGTATACGCCATTACAATTGGCAGACAGTTTTTTGTGCTAATATTAGAAAAAAAATCTATCTGCTGTTCAAATTTTTCTATACAACGCCCTACTGACACGTTGAAAGAAGTGTTACTTTATTTGAGTCAAGTAGATAATCAATAGATTACTGTTGATTTTCAGGAAGCTTACGGCATATTTTGTGTATTTAATCTGTTAAATATTGCTTATCAATCATGGCTCGCTTATTTCGAATTTGTTCAGCTTATTTTATATGGAGATAGCTTTCTAAATTGTCTAGAACAACATATGTTTTTCTCATATGATATATAAAAATAAAGCATAACTTTATAAATATACCGCGTTCCTTTATAATTAAATTTCTTAACTGTACAAAACTTATATTTCTAAACATAATTCCTCAACAACTGCTTTGTTAAATCTAGATTAAATATGTTTTTCTTTATATAGAAATTTACAATCGATCCTATATATGGCCTTCTTCTATTAACTATAAAATAGTTGATCGATCCAGACACGTTTCCTTTATCTGTGTCGAAAAAATCTGTATATCTAAATGATTTAAAATGTGCTTATTTATTTTATATATAAATATCGAAAAAGTTTAAATAACTTCGATTAGAACTTGATACTTTTCAAATAAAAAACAGTATAAGAAATACTACAGCACAAAGTAATTAATTGGCCAGTATAAATTGAATATAATTGATCCTAAACATTGATTAGCGAAAAAGTTAGAGAGAAATAGAGATTTAATGAGATTAGCCAAGAAAAATATCATTTATTTATAAATCTAAACTTATATAAATATATTAGCAATAAACTTTTCAATAAGGTGAAATATGTATATTAACCATTGTATAGTAAACTGCATTATATTTTTTCAATATTGCTACACTATAGCTTAAGAAATGAAATGTTAACAAAAGTGTTTTCTTTAGCATCAAACCAAAAGAACTTGATGAAAATCAATCGAAATGAAATGTTTAGCAACTAGAGTATTGTTGATTCTAGTATAATTGAAAAAAACTGAAAAATCATTCATATGTCTATTTAACAAAGGCACTATAAAAACTAATACTGCTTTCTTATAACGGAACCAGCGAAGAGCGATTTAACAATACCAGTGGTGATATTTATTATTGAAACTTTATACTATAAAAGATTGTACAACTGTAATTTACTTTTTACTTAAACCAATAAATCCCTTATACTAAGAAGTAAATAAAGCTTTTTCATTGTTTAAAAAGTTTCTATCTCCTGCTCTAAAGAATAGTTTTGTATTTATTGGATTATATTGTAACAATTCCCATGTCACTTATACTTGTAGCAACTTGAATGAAATTCTCTAAATTAGGTGTTGTTTTTTTCCTTTTACTCTTTAATTGAGTAATTGAGAGTTGCGAATAGATAAAATTCCATCAAAAAATGAAATTGCAGGGGTGGCGTTGTCAATTGTTACTCAAATTATAAAATTTATAATTAGTTGAAGATTTCGTTTCCTGTGACCTTGATGATTATAGGAAATAGAAAAGAGTTTGAAATATTTTGCAAAAGTTGAATAATTTAGGATTTTATACAGTTTTATATTTACTTTCAAAGGATTTTCGTGTTTGAAACATCCTTTCTTGAAATATATGCTGTATATATTTATATTTAAATCTGTATATCCAGAATTTTCAGCGTTAGCTAAACATTCACTATTTAAATGTGCAACACCTAATCGAATTCTGTCTGCCACAGGAAAAGTAATATGTATGGTATCATGTAATAGCTTTAAGAACAATTGTATATAAAACGAAATGGTTTTTTTTTCTATCATAAACAGATTCTCTTTTCTACAAATAGATCAGTATCATCCGACATATGGTTCTAAAGACAACACAGTTAGTATCGGAAGGTGTCCTTTGAAGGACCCAGACTGACTTTTTTCGTACCAATGTACTATTGCTCCGCTTAAGTATTCGTATGTAGTTAGTTCACTTTTCTAAGAGAAGGGTTGGCTTGTTGAACAACATACAAAACAATCCTTCTTCTATTGACCTCTTTAAAAAAGAGTTCAGACTATTTTATAACTTATTATATTTCATTGGTCTAATTCTGATAGCTGGGTTCGGTTTTATCTTATTAATATATCCGATTTTGAGGCAGAGATATTCATTGTTATTTCCTGTATGTTAGCATATATAAATTTATTATATAAAATCGAAATTTTATTCATTGTGAGAAGATTGTGTGTTTAAAATTAAGTACACAATGCAATAGTAATTGAACTTTTACATTGTTATTTATCTATTAATTATGCTATTGTTGTTAATACTGTATATCACAATTTATAGTCATTAACAACAAATAGAAATTAGTTGGATAATCATAGTAATTCTTTTATTGATGATACAAGTATGGAGAATTGTTATAATTCAGAAGAATTTGAAAGGTAATTAGAAATTTAAAAGTAGGAAAATATTTTGAACGACAAATGCTTTAATGGAAAAAAGGATCTAAAGCAATATGTTCCTTTCAGTTAACAAAGGGAAAACCAGAACAAACTTTCCAAATGGTCGTGTCAGCTGTCGGTGAAGCAAACGCTTTCATTGCTCAATAGTATCATTGTTTTCACGTATCCGGAAATGATAATTTTTTAGTTTGGTTCAACTGATTTAAATATTATTCATTTTGTATTGTATATTTCTGTTTTTGTTTCATTAACTACATGAATATTTAAGTTGTTGAAAACCTTTAAATTTTTCATTTACTTATCTTAACAACGTAATAATAATTAACTTAGTTCTGAACAAAAGTCGATCTTATTCAGAAACTTTATGAAAAAAAAAATGAGAGTGTTCTATTTATCAAAGGCAGAAAGAGATGAGTAAAAGCAAGTTTACAGGCAAGGTAGACTACTAGAATCAATAAATTATATATATAAATATATATGCCTAAAAAGCAAAAATGTTTCTTATGTATATGTGTTTTTAAGAAAAAAAATCAGGTACTTAACGGCGCTGGTAATGAAATGAAAAAAAAAAACGCTTTTTTGTCTACCATAGTCAGAGTACATTTATTAAAAGATTTTGGTTTAATATTTCTATTCATACGGATAGATTGCAATAAAATAAGCAAAGCTGAACTAAAAAAACAAAATACAGGTTAGGTAATATTTGAATATTTCATATAATTTCATGAATAAACTATCTGATTAGTTTATTGCTTTATTTGTTCTTTAATTTGTGTGATAATTGTTTCTGAGATTATTAGGAGGTAATTTCATGTTTATTTTTGTTTTCTTTAAGCTTTAATTAAAAGTAGTATTGTATTCAGTAACACTTTTTAAATAAACATATTTTGGGATAAGCTGTAAATTTATTGAAATTATTTATAACTTCAAGCATGTATAAAGTTCATCAATATTAACTAGAGATAGACTGTAGAAAAAAAACTCTGGATGCATTTTCTACATTAGCCAAATTGAATAATTTATTGCACAGTTTATTCATTACTTCATCGAGCAGTTACTGAAACAACATGTCAAGTATACTCTTAATTCTATCTTTATACCTGGTAGCAGTATCAGCATTACCTAAAAAACTTCAATGTATACAAACTAAGGGAGAAAAAACTGGAGAAAACTGTTGCATTAGAAAGAACGAATGTATTTGTTCGATTGATAATTTCTGTAGAAATTTCGAAAAAAGGTTTCTCAATATGATAATAGGTGGATGTGGAGTATTTAATTGTGGTACACCAAGAAGACAAGGAAATGATTTTGGGTCACACAGCGAAAGTTATGCAAAATCTCAAGACGAACACTCAGAAGACAAAGAGGAAAACCAAGAAGAAGATCTATACGATCTGTGGGATCCTGCACTTTTCGAAACTGGGCTTGAAGAATGACGTAATTAGACTTTAAATTAGATTTTTTTTCAATATACAGTATTTGAAGAAATAATTAATTGGCTATTATTTACAACATGAATACTTCTATCAATATTAGTTAAATACTTGTTTCTGAGTAAGAATTAACTTATCCAATTTGTAAAACATTTCTATTTCAGTTGTCCTACTACCTGTAAATATGAATAGACAAACTTAACAAAGATTACGATCTATTATCAATCTATAATCATTTTTTTAAAGTGAATAGTTTTTTTTTTAATATGAACAATGGAATAGTCTAGTTTTCCTTAAATATCATTTATAAAGACTAAAAATCGATTTCATTAATCATTACATTTCCGATTTTTGACGGGCATTTGCAATTAGTGAGAAAAAATTGATAAAATGCTAAGAATAAATGTTTTTCCTTTCGGAACTCGATCTCATTTACTTGTATATAAATATTTAATAATGCTATTTAAAAAAAAAATGAAAAAAGGACAAGAGCAAAATATCATACCAACAGATGTCGCCACATAAATTATGAATAGTTTATCTTTTGTAGGATAGACGGGGATTTGTTTTTATAACAAAAGATTATCTTCCTAGCTGTGGTGACATCTGTTGATTGTGTTTTTATCATTTAATAACCTCTAAACAAAAACGGAAAAGTCGCGTGACTAATAAACGTGTATCAACTATAATGAACCATTAAACGATTTCTCCCAGCAAATTAGTCAATATTGGTAAAGATTTACAGCACAATAAACGTGTAATTTATTCATCAGTGTACATTATACTAATAGCATGTCAAACAATCTAGCAGAATAATCAAAAGAAGTCGTAAAAACGATCATATCCGTTACGCAATATCAAATTTCTAACTCATTCTACCATAATCTAGCCCGCAGTTACATCGATTGGCAAACAGATTCTTTTCGAGCGAAAACGATCTATAGTTTGTTACTTTTTTTGAATAATTGTTCACTGGTTACGCCGTTTTCTATCTTATAGGGGCAGATTATATGTTTGATTACTTGTTAACCTTAGCTTTGCAAGGAAAAGGGGGTTAACTGGATAAAACAGTAGGGAAATATGTTGCGCAAATTGTATTTGGATATGTCAGAAGAAATTTATATATCATAATATAAAATTGTCAGTTTTGTCTTTTAAGATAATGATTGTACAACGATGTTATATACTTTTATGAAAAATTGAAAAATATCTTAAAAGGATATTATCAAGCTAATAGTATCCATATATATATTTTTTGCATCAATCGTTAAACAAAAAAAATTCTCTAATACTACATCAATCATTGAATAATCTTGTAACTTCCGTTGCTCATTATTGATAAATACGGACTAAAACTCTACTGTATAGATACGCTCTTTTGTCATCTGTATGCTGGTAATGTTTCAATGTTTTCCATCACTTAATGTATTCATTTCTTCATTTACTCTTTTATAATTTAAATAGCTGTCATTTATTCTGGGAATCACTAACAAAAATAAGAAAAATTACCTGAACATTTCTATAAGGGTCTTGTTTGCGTTTGTTATTCTTGTATGATATATTTTTCTTTTATTATTTTTAATGCAAATAGGGTAATTTAGGTTTATTTTATTTATTTCTATCAAATGGAATAGAAGAAAATGGAAAATGATTAAGAACATTGGTATAAAACTGGAAAAAACTCTTAAGTGATGTAGAATTGCATTTACGAATAAATTACTTATATTAAACAATGCAACAGAAAATAGGAATAAAGTTTGTAAATAGTAAATGTATGTACAGTATACATATAACTTATTAATACGTTAAAGGGCAAATTAGCTGCTTTTTGAGAGGAGAACTTTGCAGCACTGGCCCTTAAAACTAATAAGGCTTTTAAAGGGAATAGCTAGAAATAGAAATGTTTTTCTCTATTGTCCTTATAGCATATTATATAATTGATCGAATAATAAAAAATTAGTAGTATTATAGTAATTATGACGCAAAATTGTATTTCAGAGAAAATTAAACTGAGCATAAACAACAGTTTGTAAGTTATATAACATTTCATAACTTTTCCTTCGTTATAAATGCGTCACAGCATTTTACAAATACAAACAAAACATTAATATCATACACATGAATTCGTTTTTAAGAAGAGATGTAGTACAATGTATATATATATATATATTTGGTAAACGATTTTTAATCACGTGACACTTTTCTAAAAAGTTCGCTAATTGAAAAAGCAAAACGCGGATTGAAAAGCCTCGAAAATTGTTCGATAGTACTTGAAAAAGTTCGCTTTAACTCGTTCCGTTTAATAATTATGGCGTGACTAGGAGGAATTTAATGATTTTAATGAGGTTTTTCACAGCCGCACTCTACACAGAGCGTCAAGAATCATCGACAGGTGACCAAATCAATTTCGTTTTGGATAATTTACAAAAATTCGATATTTGTGAAGGCACAGTCGTTTTCGGTTCTTCGGTTGTCATTTGTGTTTTCGCTAAAGTTTGAGCGGCTTGTTGTTTGTAATAGATGTCCCAGGCAACTTTTACGTGCATTGCACTCCATTTTCGGCCTAGTTGAGGCTGAATAGATAAATTAAAGTTAATCTTGTTATAAAAACAATCTTTATTTTTTTAACGAGATAAAGATTACCCTAACGAACTATAACAGGAACGGAATCTGAGCAAACGAAGGGAATGGCTGAGAGAGGGAGAAAAAGAGAGAGGAAGAGAAAAGCAAAAGGAGGATAAGAAAGTCGATTAAACATGCTGTTCGCTTATTTAAAATTGCACAGTTTTCTACAACTAGGTCAATTAAATACTTCTGAGTAATTAAAGAGAAATAAATCTAGATTCCTTTCTTTAAGTGAAGAAATCTTACTTAAGCACTCCTTTTAGGCAAAACAATGCAGCTGTAAATATACAATATTGCTGCATACAATAAAATGGATTGCTTAAATATACAAGACAACTTAAGAAATATTTAATGATATGCAAATGATTATTTCTATTAATATAATAAAAATTGTATGAGTATTACAAAGGAGACATTTCGAAAGTATTAGACGAACGGAACTGCTGTAGAATTACTATTGATACTGATTTATAAAATAGTTGAAAGGATGTTAAAATATATGGTTCAACATTGCTATGAAGATTAGTCTTTTGTAATAATATCTTATCGCGTTAGCAATGGAAAGTGTGAAGAGAACATCTTTGAAATCAAAACAGGCGGTTTATTGTTTGCTAATGAATTAATAACAAGTGTATTCACACCTTATTTTAAAAGATGTTTATTCTTTCCTTATTTTTCATTCATTGGAACAAAAGATGACTTACTATAATTTTAAATAATTCAAGTTATTCTTATGCAATATCATTAATTTTTAACGGCGTTACAAAAATCAATTGCATTGCTATTTTACTCAACTGTACTAATCTTATTATGTGTAGTAGCGTACTTTGATCATAGTACACATGTATGGTTTAAATACAGAATAGATTGTGTATTTTGTTTTACGTGCAAAGCATATAACTCTCCGCTGATTATATTTATTTATAAATTTATATTGCTTAAAGATAAGTAAAATAATTTATACTTACTTTCTGAACAGTATTAATCGGTGGTTGATGTAAATTCAACGAGGATTGAGGGTTGTCTTTGCGATCACTCATCATTCTCAATTGGTGCTGATGTGCAATAGCCGGAGAAGGTAGTTTGGTTTCCCTCTGGAATAGAAATTTCCATAGAAATTAAGCAAGATAATTTTTTTTAGCTGTACCGTATAAGCTTTCTCCCTAAAATCGGATTAAGTGAAAGCTCGATTAATCGGAGTTTATTCCGCCCCGTCCTAAATCTATATCATCTCTTGAATATAGACATCTGATTACGTCAGATCATTATTCATATTGACTCTTGATTTCTTTTTATTAGTTTTTTTGACATAAATATACACTGTATATTTATAAATATATATATAAATTCCTCTAGAGAGTATTCCATTTTCCATAAAAAGCGACATGTATAAATTAAGAACAATTTCACGCTACATTAAATTTTTCTATATTATTTTCAGTAAAGCGTCGAGGACGTCCAGAATATAATATGTGTTTACAACCTCTTGTTATAATTAATCATTTGGCCGATTAGATATCTAATGAGCACTTTGATATTCAATTTTCTTTGCCTCGTTTTTGTACATAGCTTTTAAAATTTTATAACAGGTACACATATTAGAAATCAATAGCAAAAAGGTATTCTTTTCTTTCATGTTAAAAATTCTAAATGCTTTGAAAGACCGCTTTTTTTATGGTGACAAGGATAAAAATCACAATATCTTGCTAACGATGTTGTGGTAAATGAGAGAACGATAAGTGAATTTATAAAACTATAATTATATCGTGCATTAGCTACGCACATGGCATCATATTCTATCATTTCCATTAACAACCTAATTATGCATAACAAATTTTAGATAACTCCCAACAACTAGACCAAAATTGCGAATCGTTAATCAAACACAAGACTTTCTACTCCAAGTTAAAAGCTAGGAAAACAATAATATGACAAACAACTGATAAAATAGCACTCAACTGATAAGATTAACTGACTCTATAGGGATTTGGAAAGCTGATAAACTTTCAGCTACCATTTCGCTTACGAAATTCGCTTAGGAATATAGAAAGCGGATTAATGCGATTAACGATAAAACGATTGACAAACTCAACAGTCTTGGCAGCCCGCCAAGTGTTAATAACAAACTTACGGCAGAGTGAAACGTAAGAGCAAGAGTTGATGGTGCGTTACTTTTACAACAGAAAACGGTTTCTTTTTATTCTTCTCACTTTCAACAAGATATGAGCATTCAATTTTTCACAAAGAGTAAGTTTTATCTTATAAAACTTGATATAGAACTTATTTTCAAAGGTCAGTTTAATCATTGTTAAACATGAAGATACTTGCATTGGTATTGTTTATATCTTTATACTGTGCACTGGGTATTTGGTAAAGTATAATGTATACAAAGAACCTTTAATTTCCGTAATTCGATATACATTATACAATAATACATGATTTTACAATTATCCTTCTTTTTATCTGTTTAATGGTAGTTTGAATGACGAATTAAATTCAACGATTGAGAAGATATTCAATCTGTTCTTACTTTTAAATTAAGATACGACGCCATCTATTGCTTTTTTTTAAGTAATGTCCTTTGACACTCGGAATTATCTAGGGTATTTTGCTATTAAACGAATTTGTATATTAATTTTTTGTAGAGAGAAAAGTATCCTTTCTGAAGTTAAATGTACTTAAACGTTTTGTATAAGTACTAATACAATTGAACTTACCGAAAAGGGAGAGTAGAGAGAATGTGGCAGAACATTACCAAAAGGATGCTGATGAAAATGTGGAAAATAAGTAGCAAGTTGCTGCTCCTGTAGAGCTAAGAATCGAGAATTTAATTCCTGTTGAAGAAAATCGACTCCTTGAGAAGACTTTTGCCTATCCGATACAGACAGCATGCTGCCTCGACTTAGACTGGAATTCGTAGAGAAAATGGTGGTAACTATTCGTTAGTCATCAACCAATCAGCGTCGTTCTTTTGTTACACGTCCACTCACTTAGAGGTGCTAGATATTGGCGGCTCGCGGCGAAACTATCGATAAGGGGGCGCCGGTTGATCGAGCCCTAACGTAAGTTATGTAATTTACGTCGTTTACGGCTGCAGTACGAGATTTATACATCAGTCGCTGGGGAAATCAGACGCGTCTCTAAATCAATTTAACAGCCTATTGGTGCAAATGGCAGCAGTCACGCTTTTTTTCCTTCTCCGAAATTTGACGTCTTAGGTTACGTACTAAGTAACAAATAACTGAATTATGCAAGTGTTTACAATGGAGCAGAAGTCTTTGGGGCTATCCTAAAGAATTTACAGTTAGCTGTAGCAGAATAACAGCAAGGCATAGAATATCCAGAAATGATTGTTTATATTTTATAGTGCATATCTTAAATGTAATTTACATATTGAATAAATTATACTATTTATTATATAATAAATGTATTTATAGAAAGGTCTACTTTTGTAGGTATAATGTATTTCACTGTATATTCCAAATATAGAAAGAATAGTTTCGGCTAACTATTTAAATATATCTGGTTCCTGAGTCCATTTATTACTTCCGTAACAGCAGCATTTAAATTTTCTTTTGCATTTACGTAAAGTATAAATTATTTCTTCACTAACAGTTCATTAGATTAAATCGAAGACGTTAAGGATTCTAAAATCAACGGGCTTTAATTAATGAAAAGGTCTTGACTTAATTTTTTATTCAAGTCAATTAGCGTTGAAAGTAAAATAAACAACAAACAGGTCAATAGAGACTGAAAAAGTTTCTTTCTTGATGGGAAGGTTGAAAAGATTAAACTTACTGTATACATCTACTGAACAATTACAGCATATATACAGTATAGATATATTAATAATAATATATATATTACTACATATATGATTTTCAGAGAAATAATCTTAGATGACATTTCAGTTGATTTGATAATGTCAACATTATAGTTTATATGACACTTTAGTCCCAAAAAACGTGTAGAGAATAGGGGATCCACAATTTCAAACCAGTTTATATTGCAAACGTTAGAATGTCAACCTATTATACGTTCTGAGTAGAAAATTACTGATGATTTCCTTTTGATGCAGATTAGAGGTAGGATTTTTATTGGGATAAATATGACATTTTCCCCTAACTAATCAGTCACTGATTTCAATGTTAGTTCTATGATGTAATTATATAGAGAATGTATATGCAGTATATATACATATGTATATATACTGTATATATATATATATAATATTAGTAGAATGTCTATGCTCTCTGCAAGGGATTTCGGATAAAAAAGACATAAAAAAGATTTGTTTCTTCTTTTTCTTCTTTCCATTCGTTTTTTTTCTACTTAGAGATAAAAGTAAAGCAAACACAAAAGCATAAAAAAGAGATTTAATTTCTCCAGAAAACTTTTTTTTTTACGACAAATGAAAAGTTGATTCTTTCGTAAAAACGAAGGATAAAATGGAAAAGAGAGACAGAGAGAGAGAGAGAGAGAGAGTGAGAGAGAGAGAGGAAAAAAATTGTAGATGTATAAAACTGTTTGAAATATATTCAGTTGAATCTGGTTTGCTTGGTAAATGTTTTTCTTTCTCATATCTTGGTGTAATTTAAGAAGAGTACTTTTTTTGAAAAAGGTTTTTGTAAAGAATACCAGAGTTTGAACGCTTATAATTGTTAACTATATACTTATAAGCTACTAGCCCAATGCAAGCAATTAATTTCCTTAAGGTAGTTTCACGGGAACACTTCAATTAGTATGACTATTCTGTTACATTGTCTTTGCGTAAAGAATAATCAACCACTTTAATCTCGGATTGTTACTCTCTTATTAGCACTAATAAAAATTGTACTGTTTAATTTAGCAGGAATACTGACGGATTAATTACCGATGAAGGATTAAAATGTTTTATTAAAAATGTTCTAATATTCTTAGCATACAGAAACCTTTCCAAGACGTAGCGCCTATATATGACATTTGTATAATGAAGTGAATACTGACACTCTGCAAACATGCGCAGCCTGACTGGTAATACATTTGAAGTATTAGGCTTAAAAACAAACAACGCCAAGTTTTCTTCGCACCATAAGCTATCTTTTTCGTCGAAGTGTGTGTAAAATAAGGCCGTTCAAAAGTATCAAGCTGCTCCCCCTAAGCGTATCACCATGACAACTAAAGGGAACGCTTCCGCGACTTACACAGTCATAGCAATCATTCCGCCCACCCTATAGAAAAGCTAGTTTTACGAGCCAAAGTCCCACACTGTTCAGAAAGAATCACTCAGCAGAGGGTGGACTTATATTTTTTAAATATTTAAAAGTAAAGACTTAAGAATGAATTATACGTGTTGTCGCTTGTTTGAACAATATTTTATAGTTAATTTAACCTCTTCCATCATTTCCTCTGCTTATTTTATAGTAGGTAACTTCAACACAAAAAAAAATTTAAAGTTTTATTCATACAGCTCACTCTTTTCTCTTATTCTTTGTCTTCTCTTCTTCGTCCTCCTCTTTCTCCTTCTTATTCGCTCTCTCGTCTGTCAAGATCTTTTTTTGTACTTTTACTTTAAAAAAAAAATCCTCCTAAAATACTAAATAATTTATGACTTTGTAATTCTACTTGACCTCTTTTACGGACGTAAAAAGTTTTCTTTTCATTTTTTTCAGTTTGAACCTATGAATTATTGGCTGTGATTTTAATCTAGCTTTTTTTCTGTACTATTCACATATTTAAGAGGAAATTAGATAAATTATCAGTTTTATTCATATGCAAAAAAATGTATATTACAATAGATTTTGTGTTAATGATTAATGCAAAAAGAAGTGGAAGAAGAATTTTTTTAAAGGAATAGATTGCATATTCTTTCTTTTCTTTTCTCTTTTTCTTTTATACATTTCAATCCTTTCCTCTTTCGTGCAAAGTTCTCTACTAGTCTACTTTACCATTGATCTGAAAGAGGCATCGAATTGGTCTTGATGGACTTGACGTCCATTTTATCTATGATTCCATTTTATCATTGAAATGCCTTTCTGAAGTACCATACTCACTCTATTAAGATATCATGAAAAGAGTAAAGTACTCCTTGTTTAGACATATAAAAGGTTTCTTAGAAATTAAAATCAATTCGAATTAATCATTTCTGATTAGGATGCAGACAACACCCTCAATAGCAGATTCCTCAGAGAAGATAAAACAAATGAGCAAAAGCCGATTTAAATAGTAATTTTTAATTCCAAGAAATCCACACAATTATCGAAGGGTAATCATTTTCGAAGATGCTCAATCCTTCGTTATAGCTCAAACTAAAAGCGCTCTAAAATGTTTCTAGGGGGATATAAGTTCTCCATGACTTATTTTTCAGTTATTCTTCAGCAAACTCTCAAGAGGATTTTAATTATTCGAAATGCGATCTGTAAGAAGAGTAATCGATGTTTATAGTGGCAATGTAGCACTCTATCGAGGTCTTTCGATGATTATCTTCCCTCCCTGGATGATAAATATATCATTTAAAAATTTATGTACATTGCTGCTTTGAGAGCATTTCCGATATTTATCAACATATCTTGGGAAAGAGAAAGTAGCTACTCTACTAAAAAGCGGAAAGAAACATTACATTAAGATCTATTTCTACTGAAAAATCAGAGTTCAAGAAAATTTTTCTTTTCACAAAAAAATGATGATAAAAAGTGAATATTTCAACTTTTTTTCACCGCAGAAAACCTCTCTAAATACGGGCTTTTTCTATAATATAAAAAGCTTTTCCATCTGATTTATAGTCGTTTTTATATTGATTAATGTAAAAGATAGATATTAGAAAGTAAAGTTACAAAACGTGACAATGCTATAAGTAACTGATTAAATATATTGATTTGTTGATATAAAGTAGTCACTTAATTGGATAATTGAAATTAGTTTTCCAATTACTAATAACTAAATTGATTAAATCTAATTGATTCATTGAAGATAGAAGTCGTAAATGACATTTTTATTCTAAGGAAAAAGTCTTTAACATACTTGACTAATTTAGTCTAACTTTGATATAGAATTCATCTAATTCTCTATACTTAATTAACCAGAGTAATTAGGAAGTAAAAATAATGCATGGATAATTAGTGTTATTTAGTTAACTTCTTCCAAGTATTTTCGTTTTGAAGCTTTAATCGTCACAATTCCTATGCATAATTAATAAAATGTTGGGAATTTGTAGAAAATTACGAAATTTAAATAATATATAAGAAATATCAAGGCTTAAAGAGCGTTGTTAATCGTGCTGGTATTCTGTACGATATTTATGAATGGGCATTGATTTAATACAAGTACATAGAAGCAAACGAATCGTATACTAATATATACAGTATTTTTATTTCAAACATATAAGGTCTTTCTTTGAATAGCGGTATATTTTTTTTAACCATTAGCATTCTCCTACCTTTACAAACTGAGTTTACTAATAGTTTATGTAAATATATATGTCATATATGAAGTAAATATTTCTGTCTTAAGTTTGCGTACATATCTATAAACTGTATTACCACCTCTCCACCTTTACCTGCAAACCATATATATTTATATGTGTTTATATACATTATGTACTGTATACGTTGCATATATATACAATATATATATGGTATAAATTATTTCTTGACATTAATTATTTTGTGATAAAGGGATTTTCGATGAAAATAAAAGCAGTATTTGAGGGGAAAAAAAGGAATACCTAAAAACTGATTCTTTGTCTACAAAAGAAGCGCCAGCGGCGGGCGATGCCTGGCACTAATCAGCAGCATTGTTTACGCCCAGTGCTCAGTCGCACCATTAATTTTCCTATAATTGACTGTGCAGTGTAAATAAGCTAATAGGAGTTGTGTTCCGGCGCCGTATTGACGATGCATTAGTGGCGGCCATCGATTCACCTACCACCGCAGTAGAAATGTTTACATATACACATAGAGGGTTTCTTATCTCATGTTATATAATTCTTTGGTGATTTCTTTATTCGATTAGTCTGTAGAAGATAAAAACTATTCTCACTTATATAAATTATAAGCATTCAGATGCACATACTCTACATACACATATATACTTTATATATATATATACAGTATATACACTTATTCAGTTAAAAAGTTTTAGTTATTCAAGTATTTTTTACCCAGCACGTGTATAGATATACTGTATATGCTGTATATATATTTATTTATATCACTACGTAGCCTTGTATTGAGTATCTGTTCCTAAACAACAGTAGTCTCTTCAATTATTCATCTGGCACGTAATGACGCTATTAACAGCTTGTCACAGTTACTGACGTTAACATTCTGCTCATCTACCAATTCGAAAGTCTCATTTTATTCGAGTTTTATTGCTTAATAGTGATTCGCACCTGC